CACCTGTTAAGCTGACTATTGGATTATGAGAAAGATATTCCTAAATTCAGCACCGGATCTTGCAACAATGTCAATACCATCTGTAAAGACCAAGAGTTAGATGATTTGGCTGATAGTAGTTGATGTTGTTTCTAGCTCCGTCTTCTCAAGACCCAAAGTAAACAGAAGAAATTCACTCATTTGAGCATTATCCAAGTATCTTGATGACACTCCTGAATTCGTGTATGATTGGTCATCTTAATCTGGTGGATATGCTTGCTAGGAATGCCAAAACCTTTCAGTGCATTGTCCACATAAGTGTGGTTAACATTGTCATGTGCATTCTACAATTACCTCTTCAAAGTTCCAATTCCAATTACTCTTCCTGGTCTTTTCCCAACTATCTTCATTAGTAGATTGATTTAACAGACTTTCAATATCTCATCCATCTTTGGACAATTTCCTCTTTGATACATGAATATCAACTCCTCCTCACTACTGAAGATGATTAAAGTTGATTTTGAAGTCGGTTCTATGTTTGCTTTTTTATCACATATTTCCTCAATTTTTTTTAATTTTTTCCTGTCCCAAGTTTTCTTCTCAGCTATCCGCTAAATTCTATATTCTTCTAATGCTAGCATGGTGTGACTTCTTTGCACCATTGGTTTATAGTTTGTGTTTTGGTTCTATTCCTGGCATTCTAAATTGAAACACTCATCTCTGACATTTCTTCTTTCGGTCCCTAATTCCTCTTCCGTAGCCTTTCTTGATAGCTTCCTTCAGAATTCATCACACTTCTTTAAGTTTAACACCATTACATGTTTCCCTCATCAAACTCCCATTTAAAACTTCAACTGCTCCTCATACCTGTGACCTGTTTCTGGGTCCTTTAACTTGTTTTTATTGATTTTTTTTTGCCAGTCTTCCTCCATATTATGTGATCTTTGGAGATCTTAACTCATATTTTGGAGATCACCAAGTAGGGCCTGAATCCATATTGACCCTATGAAAGGTTCTGGTGTTATTAGATTAGATATTATTTAGCAGTTATAAAAATCCAATTTTATTGAAAAAAAAAGTGTGATGTAGCAATTGAACTGTGTTTTATTTGCTACTTTTTTTCCTCCTTATGCACTAGATTGATTATAGATTGGAAATGAAGTAATTAAAATTTGATATGATCAAGGCCTTGCTATACAATTTAAAAATAGTTTGTAATTTTAAATATTTTCAAATAAACATACTCACATTAAAAAGACTGTTGTCAAGATCAGAAACAATAATCAGATTGCCTGTGAGAGCGAATTTTCTTTTGGATATTTTTATAATTTTTCCATTCTGTAGACTCACTTCTTTTGTACCTTCATCAGAACATTTTCCCAATTGCTTTAGTAGAACTTCATATGGACCTAACTAAACATGATTTAAAAAAGAAACCCAATTATATGTTGTGTTAAAGTTCTAAATTAAAAATATGGTGTGGTACATTTCACAACTTTCTCTTATCACTCTAATTTCAGTAGATATTTTTTTTAAAAGTTAATAAACGTTAAGAAAACTGCATTAATTATAAATGCAATTCACCACAATTAATATAAAGTATGACAATGCTGTGTGTACTTACTATACATTATTGGTTTACCAAGCTGAAAATGAATTTTAAAATTTTTCATTTATTTTCCTCAAAAATTTAATTTAGTTTCTATGGATTCAATTATTTCTCACTCAATTATTAACAAAAACATAAAAAATTGAAAGAAATTAGTTTTTTGTAACTCTCCATTACCTTCTAGGGCTTAAGATGTTATATAATTTGTTTTATATTATTTTTAATCTCCCAACAGTGCATTATACATTCATATTATATATTGGAAATTAATACAATTAACAATCCATGTCATCATTTTTAATAATTAATTTGGCCATTTTTACTTCTATTTGTTGTTGTTTTTTTTGTGGATAAAATTGCATCTTTTAGAAAAATTCAGAGCTATATCCAAAATATTTATCACAAAACACATTGAAAAAGTTTATTTATTAATAGCTATTATATATTACAGAATATACATGTAGGTATAACCAGATCCTCAAAATTTCCCATAAAGATATTTTTAAAAAGCATCTCTAAGTGAAATAAGTGAATGGTTAAACTAAAAATAAATTACATCAGGAAAGTGCTGTACTGACACAGGTAGTTTAAATAGAGAGGGATGGGGCTCTCTCAACTGTTTCCAATTTCCCAATTCCTATCTCTATACTTAATTATCAATAAAAGTTAATTATAAAATTTGTTCATAGTTTTAATGAAAGAATCACATGCAAGCACACACAGACCATTGTGAAAAACTTGATTTTTTGGACCCAAAAAACCATAAAATATGTATTTTCATCAAAAAGTCAATGGATCAAAATATATAGATAAAAAATAATTACTTTTAATAAAATAAAAATAATTACTTGTATGTCAAGATTCAAAATATATAGTTATAGTGATATATAATATAACATAAAATATAACAATGTGATCGGAGAAGAAAGAAAAACAATCCTATTGAAAAAATAACATGTTATGAATTCATATAAATTTTTTAAAATGCTGATTTACTCTTTGTATCATATTCTTTCTGAATAGGTTATTGTATTATATCATTATAATATTTTGAAAATTTAAATCTATTTGTAAATATGAAAGATTTAAAATAAGTTTCTACCATATTTCAAAGTGATTATGGTAATTATTTCTTTTGTAAAACAGAATTGTATTGAAACCATTTTTTTTTTCATGAAACATCAACCTAATTAATTAATCAATTTAAAAACAAAAGGAACAAAAAAAAATGCATATAGCATAATATTACCGCAAAATCAGCTAATGTAAAATTAGCAATGATCAATAAAATTCCTAATAACAGAAACATTTAACAAACTTTTGAAAAGCTCCTAACAATTTTCTACTAAGTGCTGCAAGGAAAGCATTTATATAGAGCCAAACCTATCTCTCATCACTTCCCTAGGGTCATAATGAGCCTAATGGATGTTATCGCACCAGTGGAATTTGACATAATTTCAGGAAACATCATTCCTGTTAAAGTAATCATTTTATCATTCATCTATACCCTGATTCTATGATAAAAGTAATACAAATAAAAAAAAGAAGTAGAAGAGGCATACTTGTCAGGAAAAGATTAACAGAACATTACACAGAAGCCAGATTTTTATACAATTATAGAACTCGCTTGATTATTTTTTTTAAATAAAAAAACATATTTTTTGGTCATAAATATTGGAAAGTTTCAATTAACTTTTATTTTAATAAATATAATAATACATATATAAATGTATATCAATGATGTTAGGTTAAATTTTCTTGGGACATCATTTGTAAATTGAGTGTTAGCTATATATAGACTAGAAAGATACCTGAGCCAATAAAAAAGTAAAATATTTTGATCACGTAGACATAAAAATCTCATGTTCGTAAAAATGATTAGTAAAGTACATTTAACTGAATAATTGAATATTTTATTTTAAGATTTACAAAAAGTATTTGGTTTTAATTAAACATATTTCAATTCAATGACAGATGCTTGAAGAGAAAAAAAAAATGAAAACATAAAATAGTCCTTGAGAAAAAAAAATAATTCATTTCCCAGATTTTACCGAATGTTTTCTAGTGTATACTAATAAAATTTTTCCCTTTTAAGGGACAGGAGATTAAGAGTCCCTTATACTATCAGTCTTATTGCAACAACATAACTGAATGAAATATATTGATGGGGCCCCTCACACGTCGCAATCATATTAAGTCAATATGATATCAATTTTGCTAAAAAACATACCTTGTTCCTTTTTTATTTGTATGACCTGAAAACTTCATTTTCTTATCATACATTTAAACATTTCATGTAAAGGGAATAATTCCAAAATTTAAAAAAAAGGAATAACTATTGAACAAAAAACTTTCTGACAAATCAGACTACCTTCTTCGTAGCACTGTGTTTTAGGATACAAATTAACTTTTTAGTAAATATTTCATCCAGCCATCTAACAAACATTTCAAAAATTGGTTTAGAAATAAAATGGTCTTATTCCTTTGTTTTAATTGAAACCACAATCATTTAATATCTGTTCAATAAGTTGTAAATCTATTGAAGAAGGTTTGTAAATAGGAATCCAGGATTGGTCCATAAATGGCTCTAGCTAATAATATAGTTAATGTTAAACCGCATTATTGGTGCTATTTTGTTTCTTTGACAGGTGGAAAAGATTTTCAATTCACAGCAATTCAAGTTTCATTTTATTAGTGTTGATATGTTGAATTCTTACCCTACAAACTATGATTTGCAGACAGATTAGTTTTCTGTACCAATTTAAAAACATCTCCATGATCAAATAAAAAGTTTGTCGAAGCTTACCAATAGCATGTTCTTAGTAAATCACATTGTTTTGAGTGGTTTTAAAAATTAAAAAATGGCAATTTCAAAATGAGAAATGCAGAAAGTGGAAGACCATTTCAACTGATAAACTATTAATAATGAATGCTATGAACTACAAATGATTTGATTTGAATCGAGTATTGCATAAAAAACGACCAGAATTTTAAAAAAGGACCACACAGAGTGTTTGTGCTTCAAGATAATGCACCAACATTAGGTAAATACTAGGATATGTGGCTAATTCAGCAGACTTGGCTTCATACGACTACTATTTATTTGCATTGATGTGGTATACACTTTTTCAGCAGCACTTCACTTCTTATGAAAATGGCTTGTTAATTAGTGGGTTTTATGAAAACCAAGGCATTCAAATTGCTAGAAATATAGGAAAAATCTATGATGGAGTGTATTTCAAATAAAATATTTTTAAACATTTGTAAGTAATAAATGTGAATTTTCTACATGAAAATAACAGTTTTCTATTTACGTACAAGACCTTGATATGTGCTATTACATAATAATACGCAACAAACATTGGTTTAAACCAAATTTATGATGAGGTTAATTATTTTAATGGCCAAATAAAATTAGTAGAGCTTTGTTATAAATTTATTTTAAAATAATATACATCTTTACATGACAGTTCACTCTCCATAATAAAAAACCTAAGTAGGCTATGATGTATACAGAGAACTATTGTTAGATACAGAAATTAGAATCTTATCCATCCGCTTGATAATATCTCCAAGTCTACTTTCTTTTGGAGCTGTATCAGTGAAGTCTAGTTGCCTTGATGCACCACTTGACAGCCTTGCAAAATCTGTGAATGAATTCTCTGCAAAAGGTAGATTGGAATTTTCCTTTTTGACTTTCTTCCTAAAATGAAAAAAAATTATAAAAATAAAAAATATAATAATTGATCATTTAATTTTTCTAATTGTGAAAGAGTTAACAATTACTTGGATCCTAAAAGAATTTTCAGGAGCCCTTCTTTCTTTTTCGGAGTTGACTCTGAAGATCTGTCAGAAGAATGGCCTGATGATCGATCAGAGTTCATAGAAATAGCACTGATGCTTCCTGTCAGTGGCACCAGACCAACTTCTCTACCATTTGATAATCTGTGCAAAACAGTGAAATAATTCTGATATCTTCAATAAATAAATAACACCCTTTTCAAACTATTGTCATCGTTCCATCCTTTCTTAAATATAAGTGTACAACCAAAATAAGGCAAAAAAAAAAAAGGAATCATTAGGATTTATGCCTCAGTTTATATAAATTGTTTTTCTTAACCCTCTATTAAATTAAAAATAAAGCTATACAATACAAAAGAAATTGATTAAAGTGTTTGGCTATAACTAAAAAATAAATTAATATATACCTGTCATAGACAAGGATAGATAAAACAGGAGTAACCGAAGAGTGAGCCGATACAGCCATCATATGGTCTCGAGGATGAAAATCAATAACTCCTGGCTGGGAATCTGGAATGAGGTTGGGGTATATCGCTGCTTGTGCGCTAGTGTTCGAGTCCCAGACACAAAGGGTGGAATCTTCGGACCAGGCGAGAACCAAAGAGCCGCAACCGCAGAAAGTACTGTCTTCTCTCAACTTCGTATTTACAAGTCCCTGCAAAAATATTTAATTACTTCAATAATACCTACATATGTAATGCGTGCTACTAAATGATACAGTAAATCTGATAGTGATATAAACATTCAATTATAATAAGATTTTGACTAGTTGGCCCATGCAAATAATGCACAGAATATTTGGTTTAGTGAAGGAATAACAAAACAATATGGAAATAAGTAAATCCTGTTATTTGAGAGAAGAATTAATTGTTTTTCCTTGGCTGATTACAATATTCCATTTAACATAATAGACCAAAATATTTGTTTATTTTTGAATGCTGATTTTTTTAAGGTAATATTCTAAATAAAGCACCGATCATGGGATTTTCTAAATTATTAAAAAATATAACGTACCAACAAAAAAATGCCTTTAAGGAATAATGAAGTATATATCATCCGGGGGAAAAAAAATGGTAGTAGAATAGTAAATACAAAATCTTCAAAGAGTAAGAAATTATTAAGTATACCAAATCATTTTGTTTTTTCCTGTTCTTCCCTACCTTGCCTTTTAGGCTATACGGAATTTTTCCGGGATGGGAGGAGAGGGGGAGGAGTGAGGGTGGAGAATTTAAAATTCTCAGTGGCACAAGATACGAACTCATACTTTTTTTAATCTGTCATATCTCCAGTCATCTATCTGGTTGCAACTCATGGTGCTGTGCACACACGTTAGCCCATTTGGTCACCCCACCCCCATAAGTATACCAAAACTAATGAACTATAAAATAACTTCAGTTCTAAAGTATTTAATGGGATCTATTTTGTGTAGGCCCTAAATCCCTGCTAAATTTTGTATGGATAGGTGGAAGAATGTTGCAGTTATCAAACTTTTTATGTTTCTACTTAAAAAAATATTTAAACTCACTTGGCTCCTTCCATCAGTACAAATTGTTTCAACTTTACAAATTTCTAATCGATTTTCATGCTTTTTTTTTTTACAGAATTTAGTAATCATTCTAATATTCATGGTACAATCGAGAAAAAAATGTATACTATTTTAGTTATTCGCAAATAAATTTTCTTTTCCTTCATAACTTTTTTCCAGAAATTTCAGAGAGATATGACTATTTTTCACACATGAAGGATAAGAAGATCTTCAAAATGAGTAGTCAGTTATTGGATTTGTTGAAGAATTAACGAAGATATGGCGTTCTGATAAAAAAACACCTGTTAGAAATAATATATATGATTATTGAAGAGAAGGATGGTTGGGGTGATCAGTCAAAATAAAAAAATAGTAAAAATAAATGAGTAGGAGTTGATCGTGGGGGGGAGGGTGCGGTCAAATAAATACTAAATTTGAAAAAATAGTATTTTTAACTTATTTTAAATGTCAGTGTAATAATTAAAAATACTATTTTTTCAAATTTAGTATTTATTTGACCACACCTCCCGATCAAATCCTTCTCATATTATATCACAGTCAACCATCTCTACATCAGTAAAAATAAATAATTATACTTATTTTTATTCTTATTTATTTTTACTATTTTTTATTTCGACTGATCGCCCCAACCATCTTCTCTTCAATTATTCACTACAATCAACCATCAACCACAATTATATAAGATTATATTTTTGTCAATGATCTAATTATTCGAATGAAAATGAAACTTATTAAGAATTATACCTGAAACCAATGGAGCACCGAGCCTGTAGAAATGTCCACCATCCTTAAAACTGAATCTCTTGTATGCACAAGAAGTCTTTTTTTACCAGGATGAAGAGATAATTTGTTAATTACTTTCCCCTTTATTTCACGAACAACTAAACTTCTCTCAAACTCGAGATTTCTAAAAAAAAAGTTGCTGTCATAACTAGATGCAATACAATGATGCAAGTATTCTAAATATATTAAAGTATGTTTAAGAATTGTAGCATAATACATATATCAATCTTAGGGAATAATGTTGATAAAAATTAAAAATTACGGTCTGATAGTCATAAAATAAATTAATAAGAGATTAATAATCAATGAAAAAGAATTTTAAAAAATAAAATAATACAGAAATTACAAAAACATTGCGTTGAAATTTTCTTAATTAATCACTTTAATAAGTAAAAGATAAAACAAAAGAAAGAAAAAAATTCAACATATGTCTCTTTAGTCTTCTTGTAGGACTTTAAGATCAACTCCAAGCATAAATTTTTCATCTTCCTCATTGCATTTCTTAAAAATATCCATTTTTTTAAGCGGCCAGTTATGTCCATATAAAACAATACTTCTTATAAATTTATACCACTTATTTTTCAAAATGTTCAATTGTGCAGTACATAATGAAAAGTTTGTCCATTGGAGTGGCATGTATTAGCTTTCGTCATACTGTTGATGAAACTGTTTTAATTTATTCTTGTAATAAATAAGTTCCTAAATAAAATTGATCCAGTATTTTTTCACTTATTAAATAGTATATACATAATGATAATAATAATTATTATTGTATATTACATTTATTGTTATAAATTATATTTTATAATTATTATAAAGTTGACTCTTGATTTCATTCTTTTTTCCAAATGACTTAAGAAAATTGTTTATAACAATATATGTATATATATAATAAAAAGGTAAGAGGAGATAACTCAAAATAATTTCTCGAGAAAATTTTCTTCTAAAAGTCAAATGAACGAGCTATTTATCTAAACAACTGAAAGAAAGTTAAAGTTTTTAAAAACCATTATCTCTATTACGGATTAGAATTACCAGAGTTAGGTTTAAGAGACCTTCAGTTCAACCTCAGGATTCTAGGGGAATAAATCACCCATATTAATACGAAAATAAGTCCTGAAAAGGTGATGAAAATGAGAAAATACAAGTCCCTGGAGATCAAGTAACCAGGCTAGAAGGGCAAGAACTGGAAGCAGTGGTAATATTCAAGCAGTGGTTTGGACATGACTCACGGATGCCAGGTAAGAATAGCTAGGTCGACCTATCACATGAAGATGAATAGAAAAAGTAGCCTAGGATGCCCTGGAAACACCTGAAAAGTGTTATTAGAAAGGCGTTTGTGGCCAGAAATCTGGATTGGAGAAGGAGATGAGACATGGCGCAGGACCGAGCAGAATGGATCAAGCTCTAGAGAAAGAACACTCTCACTGTACAAGGTGGTAGATAACGAGAGGAAGAAGAAGAATTACATTAAATTTAATAGTCATAAAAATAAATAAACAATTCATGAAGTTATTCATGTTATAAGAAAAATAAAAGCTAATATAGAACAAACTGATTACCCTCCAGAATTCCAATTCCAAATGCAAATTTCACCAATGCTGTCACCTGAGATAAGGTAATTATCGTAGGATAAAAGGGTGTTTATTTTCCCTTTGTGATGAGATGCTTGTTGATATACTTTATTCACACTGACTTTCCAAATTCTAATATCATTATCAAAGCAACCAGTTACAAAAGTATTATTATCGAGCCAGGCACATGAATATACATAACTTGGATGGGAAACACTCTGAAACAAAATATAACATGATAGTATTACAATATTTTACACTGCTTGATTCCTTAAAGATATAAAAATAAGCGTGGCAAATGATAATTTAATCAATTCAAAAGGAGATAGTGACTTGAGTCAATCATTATGATGAGGTCTGATGGTGGTTGTTATAATTTTTTTTTAATATTTGGAAAATAGGTTCCTTAATGTTTCTAGAGACAATAAAATAATAAAAGTCAGAGAATTTTATTTTCCTTGACCTTGCATAAACGAAAATCATTTTTCTTTATCTTGACAAGCTAATTACACTAAATATAGACATTTACAGTTTTCTTCAGATTTATATGAACAAAAATTATATTACTTAGAAAGATCAAACAAAAACCACTACAAATCTAAAAAACAAAATTCTGACAAATTATTGTACAAAATATGTTTACTTTATCTGTTAAAAGGCATATAATGATTTTTTTAGAGAACGGCTTGGACGATTTTTAATTTTGATTCTGTTTGTCGAGGGTGAACTCCCGCAGGATCATTTATTGATCCTCACACAAAGATTCTCTGGTAGATCCTTGAGCTTTCCCTCATCAACTGGCGTCTGATCTGAACTGCCCCTCATGAGATATTGAGATGTAAGCCCAGGTGACTCGCAGTAGAGCCAACCACATAATTTACTTGAATAGGAAACTGGTTGATATTAATCAAAATAACTAAATAATAGATTTATAGTTACCTGAATAGGAGTAACAATTTTGTTACTAATGTCCCAAACACAAGCAGATGTATCAGCAGACACAGAGAGGAGATACTTATCATTAGAAGACCATTTCAAACTGTATACTAGACCTAGAAATAAATAATTTGAGACTATTATTAATTGAAGAAAGCAGTAAATAAGTGAAAAAATATAGTTAAGATGTGCTTTAGACACAATTTTTATGTGAGTTTAGAAATATTTTCCATTCATAAATTACCGAAATTCTTATATAATAATGTTCAAGTCTGTTTAATGCACATGCGATCAGAGACCACAATATTGAAAGAAAATAAAATAAGATGTAAATTTAATAATTTTTCAGTCATAGACATACTTCTAAAGATAAAAAAATTATATAAAAACAATAACCAAATGAAATTCACTATAATTTAATTTTTTTTTAAAGTAAGAGGAATTCCATCCCTACAAGATAATTGTTATCCAGAAGCTCCTTCCAACTGACAATGTTTAACATCTGCAATTCAGAGAGCACAATAACCAATTTCTTCAACCGATATTCATAAGAACCAATTTGCATTGATCATCATATCGGACAAGTAAAGTAAATTTTCACAAAAATGTTGAAATTAGGCAACTGAAATCCCAAGAGAATTATATGAGCACCCTTTTCACAGCAAAAAAGTAATAGTGAGATGTTCTTTGTTAAAAGTTGAGATAATTGGACCTTATTTTTTTTAAAGATGTGATGGTGAATTCAGAGCAGTAACTATCTCTGAAAGCGGCACTATTCTAAAGATCCAGGAGCAATTCCTCCTTTGCTTTGAGGAACGAATCCTGAGAAGGATCTTTGGAGCAGTATGTGTTAACGGTGAATAGAGGAAGTGGAAATCAGGGAACTTTGTGGTGAAGCTGATGTCATAAGATTCATCAGGATTGGGCGGTTGAGATAGGCTGGATACATCACCAGGATGGGTCCTGATGAGGTAACCAGGAAGCTTATGGAAGAGCAGATCTATGAATAAAAAAGAGTTGGCAGACCCAGGCTATGGTGGGCTGATGATGTAGCAGCCGACGTGTGGACCCTCTTAAATATTCGCAGTTGGAAAGCAGGACCAAGTTGCAGGCAGCCTTGACTCTTCGAGAGTTGTAGTGCCATCGAGGAAGGAAGTAACTATGAATTTTTTTATTGCTTCATGATTCTTTTTATTCTCTACATGGGAAAATATGAATGCGACACTCAGAAAATTGGGTTTCAACTGGATGAGCCAAGAGTTTCAATAAATGAAACATGAAACATTTTCAGGATATCTAATTTTCACAAATTTCAATGTTCCATAGGTATCCTGCTCACCTGACCTAACTCCCTACAATCTTCATTTATGGTGGTATCTGAATTCAAAAGGGTACATTGATCAACCACACACTATTCCACATTTAAAAGAATTTATACAACATGAAATCATAGTAATCCTGGTTGAAATGTGATGCAATGTGGAAACAACTATTTGCAAAAATGCATCACATCATTGTGGAAGGACAGCATTTATCAGACATTATTTTCTATAATTAATTTTTCTTCTATATTATGATAAAACGTTTGTTCATTAACTACAAATTGTCATTATTTCAATTGGTCAATTTTAAATTAAAGTTATAGCGTCTATTTTAAATGTAGTCGTTTGGTCTCAACTATCCAATATTTCCAAAATTCTTATCATAAGATAATATCTTATACCAGATTAAACATAAAATTTTAATAATATGGTAAGTTGAAACAGTTTTAAGATAGATATTATTTACTTATAACAACATTGACATTTGTTTATTTTCTGTTTCTTTCCTACATTTTTGGTAATTGCAATTCTCTTCCAACCTTAATTTAATAAAACTATTTTGACCATATTTTCTCTCCTTTCACTTGATCTATTTCAAATTCAATGAATATATAACATTATATTAAAGCTTATCTACAGATATATGGAGCTAAATTACTTTTTTTTTTAAATTGATGAAACAATCAAATATCATGGGCTGTCTTAATTATTGGAGGGAGGAAAGACCAATTATTGCAATAATAATGGGATATGGACTCACCATGGTTTGGGTAATGTGTAAATGCGGCTTAATATAAGAGGTAAAGAAATATTACGTGCCTGCAAAAATAATAGTAAACTTATTTATTCTTGTGAATTTTTAATATAAATGTGTAAGATTTTAAGTTATTTTGTGCTTATACTGGACCATTCAAAATATTGTTGGGGACGAATGAGACCATTTCAAACACGGGGACCATTTCAGGGGGACGAATCCTCGCCATCTCATGGAGATTACATCTATGACAAATACTAAAATATTTCTCTAAGATTTCTCTAAGATATACTAAAATTCTCTAAGAAATTCTTAATACTCCTGGTTCATTACAAATCAATTCGCAAGAACAATTAAACCAACAATTTGCAAGGAAGTCTAGTGTTCTTTCTAGTGTCTAAAGTTCTTTTTAAAATGGCATGAAAGTAATTTGGTACTTATTTTGCCATAGCTGAATATTTTTAGTGAGATCAAAAGTTAAAACTTCAATAATTTAATAAAAATAAACTTTTTCTCTAAAAACAATTAAAATTAAACATATTTATTATTCTTTGCATAGAGGAAGTATATAAAATAAAAAACATTGTTGAATCTTACCATGGTGGCCTCTACAAGAAAGATGAAGGCGTCCTCTGAAGGTATATATACAAACAGAAAGCTAAAGTAGGGGAAAAAAAATTAAGCTAAGTTTATTATGTACTAATAGGATAAAATAACATAAAATGATTCATTTTTATTTAACTATCGATATAAATAGTGTACAACCAGAATAATAATTAAAATATCATTTAAAAATTAATGAAGTAGATATTTAAATTTAAGAGTAAAGGATTTATTTTTAAATGCTCGTTAAGTAACAGAACTACTAAAAAGATTATTTATTTCATTACATACATTATAAAATTAATTAATTCAATATTAATATATCAGATGTATCCACACGCACAACTTTCCTTACTGCTTTTGATGCAAAAAAAAAAAAAAAATACAAAATAGTTTGCTGTACTTTTTCTAATATTGGTGTTATTAACTGTCTTTCATTTAAGCATCTGAAAAGTTGTGGAACAAGTATAATTTTCAAGTTCAATGAAAAATTGAACATAATTATAAAATCTTATATACTTACTACACCTTCACTGTTGTGTAAGGAGATGATTTGAATGAGATCACACTTGACCTCCAGGTTTTCAATTATTTAATTAAGGGTACTCACTTTATAGAGGCTGGGTGTGCCCCAGGAGGGTCTTCCAGCCACAGGGTCGATCCATGGCAGATGAAACAGATCTGCCAATTTATCTGCCATAAGCAGGATTCAAACCTGGGATCTTGAGCATTGGAAGCTCAGCACCCTACCACTGAGCCACCCCACTCCATTACAGAAAGTATAATATGTCAAAAAAGAGTTTCTCTTGAGATCTCATTTACTTTAAACCTTTCAGGATAAATCAATAAATAAAATGATTTTATAAACATTAATGGGGAGTGGGGTAGCTCAGTGGGTGAGCATTGGCTTCCAGAGCTCAAGGTCCTGGGTTCGAATCCGGCTAATGACTAATAATTTTTCATTAGCCGTGGATAGACCCCGGGATCGGGAGACCCTCCTGGGGCACTCCCAGCCTCTCTACAAAGTGGGTACTCTTAATTATAAAAAATAATTAAGGGGGAAAACCTGGCAGTTGAGCATGATATCGGCCCAATCACCTCTTGGCACAACGGTTGGCCTCCAAACAGTACTTCCTCACATAGTACTGCACCCAAGACCCTTCATGGGTTGTAGTGGTACAGGTTTTTTTTAATAAATATTTAACATATTCAGTAATCTGTAAAGAGAGTGATTCCAACAATTTACTTTTTTCAAGAGGACATCATATTTCATAACATTTTAGAAAGTGGAGACAATTTTTCTATTGTTAAAAAGGGAAGATCTACAAATAAATGTTTAAAAAAAGGAGAAATAAACATATTTTGAAATTTTTATGCAGTAGAAGCTAAAAAGAAATCTAAAAAAATGAAAATCCAAAAACATCTAGTTTGTTGAATTCAATTTTTACAGAGCACTGATAATATGGGAAGCATACGGACAAACACATATATATAAACATGAACAAGATAATATATTAAATAATAAAACCTTGTTAGCAGAAGCAAGAAAGAGACCAGAATGCGAGTAGGCTATCGCTAGACTACCATCGGGACCAGCAGGAAGCTTTGCTAAATACTTGTTGGGCAATTTGCATGACAAGCTAGGCAGTCTCCCCCATCTCACATCTTCCAAATCTCCATCTTCTTTCTAGATAAATTTTCAAACAAAAATTATTTCATAGAACAACAATAATTTTCTTTCTTTAAACAATAATAAAATCCTAATTTTTTTACCATATTCCTTTAGTCAATTAATAAATAAATAATATATTGTTGTGTCCCAAAATCTCTCTATGTATAAGATTTACCAAGGTGGTCAATAAGATTTGACACCTAAGAAATAACATCATTGATTGTGAAGATAGAACCAAGAGGTCATTAATTTATTTTTATTTTTATACAACGGCATGGCAAGCTCAGAACAGAAAGGGGAAATAATTTTAAAAGGGAGGGAGGGAAATTTAATTTAATGTTGGCTAAGTTAGTCTACATTTTGGAATTAGTTTTTCTGAAATGCTAAAATATTATCATTCAGCCTATCGTAGTTAATAAATTTTCAGAAGTTCATTGTTTGCAATTAAAGTCATAAATATTTTCAGAAAAATCACCTGCCTTCAATAACACAATAATGCACCCTTATATTAAAAAAAAGTTACAATAAATATGTACGTGATGTCAAAATAAAAAATCTATAGTATTCATAAAAACCTTCTTTGATTACACTATAATGAACCTCAATATTGAAGAAATTAGATAATTTATAATAAATGAATAAATCATTGCAGTAATTATATGGTTATTTTTCATCATTATAAATATATCAATTTGTAGTAAGAGTATAAGTGGAACTCATCGTTATAAAAATAATTTAAAATACAGAAAGACATAAAAAAAGTAAGTATAAAAGGAAGTCCAACGGTGTAGAAAAATTATCGCAATTAAGGAGTTTTTGTATTATTCAAAACTTTGTAAGCAGCATTTACTGAAAACGTTTTTGTCAAATTTTTGTTGTTTTTTATTTGGTTGGCACTATAGACCATGAAGACGTGATATGAGATATGATCTTGGTATATTGCTAAAAACCATGATTTCCGTGGTGCAACAGTAGGCCCTCCGTAGCTCCATTACCAATCCCTTTAGGGCCAATCTGTCATTATCTTTCCCATAAATTTACTCAGGTTGAAGGACAGTGACAATCTAGATACATAGATCTTAAGGAGGCTACAAACATACTCATACGTAAACCACATCTCGATTCCCGATTTAAATACACGGTAGTTGGGTCATCAGTCCTATGCCCAGTCAGTGAGAGTTTCTCCAGGCTGACGGTCCTCACATATCCAGGAGGGAGTGAGGAAGAAAAGAAATCACAAGCAGAATGGCTTTTCCTAGTGGACAGTCACCCAAATAGGGCAGTCACCTATTCAAGTACTAGCCATACTCGATATTGCTTATTAACTATGCTTACCTATTGCCTTAGCCCACTCAGCTATCTCAGTTTCCATTTATCAAATATTATAAATATACATATAGCTACTATAAGTGTAAAAAGTTGTATGTAACTATATTAGATGATTATTCTCTTTGCCCTAAAGGTGACAATTTTTAGTCTGCTAAATAGGAAAATAACAGAGAAAATAAAATATGAAATTATACTAATAAATCATTAAGAAATAATCAGTTTTTATCAGTGTCCCCCAGGCTGACGATATGTAATATTAATTATTATAATATTATATCGACATACTTATAAGCCACACTGCAAAAGCCGGCAAGGACAATTTCTTTGAAAAATGAGGTTTTGAGCTTTTTCTGGTCAATCTTATACTGGGGCATATTCTGATCCCACAAAATGAAATATACGATGTTCCATTTCTTCTCTATGGCCTTTTGTAAAATGTTTGCTTGGATTGTTGTGGTGACTGGTCACATAAATGGCCCCCACTATGGGTTTTATAATCTTTTTAAGTAAATAAATATTTTTTTCCTTTATTATGTATATATTTTACATTCTAAATATATATATTTGATTGATACAAACTTGATGTATTTTCAATAGAAAAATATTGATCCTTTTTTTATTTTTTAGCGATGTAAATGTTAACTTTTTACTTTATGTTAGCATATAAAATATATTCTCTTAGGTTACGTTGAATTTATTTATTTTTTTGTTTTCCTGATCGTTTAGCTTATTTCTGAAAAGTATTTCAGTCTTCCAGAGCATGACAATTAAATTTTATGATAATTTCAATTTTTTGGGTGTACCATACCCCAGAGTGTCAGAATGAGTTGACTTTTTTAAGTGTGTCGTTCTAGGGTTAATATGCTAAAATTAATTTTTCTCATAAGCTTTGTATTCTTTTTTTTTAATTTCTAATAAGTAGAAGGCACTTCCAGCCCGGCAACTCTAAGAAAATTGCCTAGATTTTCCTTCCCTGAGGCCAGCACTGCTAAGCATGGAACAAGACGAAGCAAAGAAGAGAGAGGTAAGTGGGAATATAAATTTGAACAGCCTTCAAAACAATCAAAAACTCCTGGAAAATGCAAAATGAGCTTGACTAGAAAAAAGCTACAAGTCCGACAAATCCGGGATAGTGAGAGAAAGAGAAATGATTTCATTAATTGGAAAATTTAACATGAGATGAAAAAAGACCCCTAGTTTCATGTTTTCAAACCAATGAATCTTTCAAATTGGAAGATCAGAAACGAAGTGATCTACACATCAGCAGGTTATACCTAGAAGTTACCAAGCATTCGTGAATCAAACCATGTCCATATGAAGATGAGATTGTTAAAAACAAAACTTTCATAAGCCAATCCAAAATGGAGTGCATGCACTCCGTTCGAGCCACTCTTGTAGTGGGAAACAAAAAATTGAATAGCCCGTGTAATCAAATAATCGCTTTCCAGTCTAATGTTTTAACAAATTTTCATATGAAGTATCGTTTCTCTACATTTTAGAAACTGACTTTGTTCCTGTCATGATTTGATCATTATTAACAAAGTTATGGGTGTTACTACAATAAATTTGATAACTTTTACCTAATAACTGTTTTTCAAAGTAACTAAAATGCTTTAAGTTAGAAGTAATGGCTCTAGTAGATTACTTGGAAGAAGTAAGATAAAAAAAGTTATATTTTTGTTTCGGGCAAGAAAAAAAAAATGAAACAAAATATAATGCTCATAGAACAAAAATTATGCATTTTTTTCCTTTCCTAGAAAGTTTTAGTTTTTGTTCTTACAGGCTTTTGCAGTGTGGATGTTGATATTCTGTAATTGTTTAAAAACTATTTAATCATACTTTTGTGAAAGAAGACTTTTGCCTTAATCTCCTAGGTATATTTTGAATGGTTAATGATTCCAGAAAATCAGCTGATTATTTTAATACTACTTGTGGAGTCCCAACACTAGATATACAACTGTTTATTTAACTGTACTACTCGTCGCTCAAATTGTATAACTTTAATTTACATGTATGCTATAGTTCAGATTGTTTTATTTTTGATTGATTATCAGCATAAAATAAACTGAATGAAAGCACAGTTTGGACAAATTTTTAATTTATTTAAAAATCTATAGCCAATTTGTAACCATAGTATTCATTTAACTTGTCTAGCTTCATATAAGCCAAACAATAATTTGAGTCTTTTATTTCTGATATTTTCATCGTATGTTATATTGTGCTTCCTTTTCTATTTCATAATAATTATAATTATACCACAATATGATATAAATAATATTATATATAATATAATATTTAATATATTGTATTCAAGAGGAAATGTCTATTTTGAAAAATAACTGCTGTCATCTAGGTAAAATCAAACTACCACTTCCAGATGCATACCATTTCCCATACAAATTTTTAGTCTATAATCTTAATTTTGTATTAGGAGATTATGAGGTAACAGGAACTAAAAATGTGTCTATAATTAAATGAACAACTCAATAATTTGTAAAATAATTGCCATAGGGGAGCAGCACTAAAAAAAGTGAGCTCCTATTATCTCTCACTCTCCAAATACTGTAATAAAATAAAATATTAAATCCACTAAAAACTTTTTTATATAATAGAGAGATGATATTTTTCTAATAAAGGACAAGAGATTTTTCAAATATTATATAAACTGGATAAAAAAGATCAGGGTACATTTTGAGAAGTACCTATCATTTTCTCAAAAAGTGTAGATGTTTATAATTATATTATTGCATATGAGTAACATTAATTTTTCATGTTAATATGATTTTTGAAAGATAGAAACAAAATGTTTAGTCCATTAGAATATCAGGGAAGGAGAACTAAGGAATGGTGTAATAAAAGGATAACAGATTAATGCTGAAGGTTAATTAAGATAATCATACGTAATTATTTGTTATGCAATAAAAGCTGTGTTATGCGCAGACAAAAAAATCTATCCTTTTATTACATCAAAGTATAAAGTTTATATATATATATATATATACCTCAGATATGATTTGTGCAACAGATTTCTCAGGTGTTGTTATTTTAACCACAGTCTTGTTAGGATCATCAACATTATTCTGGATTACTATATTTTCAGAAATCCCATTGACAGTCACAAAAAGCGTGCTCTTGTAGTTTTTGTGACCCCCATTTTTCCACCACATAAACATCTAACAACAAATAAGAATATGTATTCCTGCACATATTTCATTAGAAGAAACAAATAAATTCTTATCAATTGTTAACTAATTATACTAAATTATTGTTGTATAAATTTCTTATCACTATATGTATCAAGATATGCTATAATATATATCAGATAAAATCAAATAGTGAAATACAAATGCAAACACAAAGAGCAGCTATCTATATTCATAATTTCCATTAATGACTGGCCTGAAAAAAATATTTTTCATTTGAGACCAGAATATTTATAATGACCCTCCAGTAACTGGATCAAACAATTAAGATATTAGAATAAATATATTGTAATGTAAAGATTACATAGTGACATCACGAACTACTGTTAAGGAACGGACAAAGAGACGGAGGAAGATATTATTATTATTATATTATTGAATGTATGTTTGTTCAACCCAACCTGAGAAATAATTTGTAGTATTTTTAATAATTTAAAATAATTGTATAAAATAAATATAATTTGGTTCGGAAACCGTTTGTTTATTTTTCAACAGAAAACATAATCTTACAATATACAATAACTCTTCGGGATCCCGAGGAACATCTCTGTCTCCCATTTTTATGAAGAGCTGAAGTGGCTTTATTCTTTCTACCATCATAAATATTTCCAGGCACCCTGCCTCAACCAAGTCATCCACAATCCTGCCTCCCTCATACGTTTCCGAGATCTTTCAATTCAATTCCTCTGTTCATTCCTGCAATACCCGCTCCTGGTCTTCAGATCTATATACAAAGGCTCACCAAACCACGGCTTTCAACAAATCTTTCATTATTCCATCCTCGCACCTATGGAATACATACTCTCCAACATCTGTCACTCCAATACTCTACCCTTATTTAAATCCTGCCTATTCAATCACTTCCTATCCATCTAGTTTCCAAACAATTGTAAATAGCTTATTTTTTAGTTTTGGTTTATTCACCAATGTTAGAAGTTGACCTATTTTTAAAAAAATATTTTTATTTGTTTATTTTATTATTCTTTTTATAAAAAAATATAAGAGGCTCTAAATCCCACAACTATATTATTCCAAAGGAACTTTTCCCATAATAAATAAAACATATTATTACTATTATTATTAGGTTTTGTTGCGTACAGAGGTATTATATAAAATCCAACATCAAATAATTTGGCTACAATTATAATGTAATTTTATAAAAGTAAATGTTTATGTAATTCAATTTTTTTTAAATTGTAAAAAATACGGTACCTGAGATGATAAATTATCTTTAACAGACTTTCCAGGTGGCTTCAACAACTGCAAACGAAGCTGCTTACCAATGTTGATGGCCCCATTGGCAGCAATAAGTTTTAAAAATCCCCAGGCTAAAACTTTATTTTTTTCTTCGTCCAGAATACCAATTAATAAAATTGTATTAGGATTTTTTAAAATATCCAGAGGCTCTGGGATGATCAAATCTTCTTCCCAACGAGGTGTTGACGACCTGAAAACATAGTTAACACATAGAATTATTCAAAAATGCTTTAAAATTGTAATTAGTTTAATAATTCAAGCAAATTTATTATAAGTTATGTTATTACAATTAATTTTATCAGTTTCCCAAAGTTATACATGTATAAGTCATAATGAAGACCTATAGGTTCAATCAATTCATTAATCCATTAGATACAAAAGTAAGGTGTTTGTTGGTAATTAAAAAAATAAGAAATGGGTAACTAACTAAGAAGTAAATTACTAACAAAACTTGATGATTCTAGTATAGAAATGTATTTCTAATATAACCTCTGAAATGTATAATCATAAGTTTGTGTGACAACAGCTTCAATAGCTTCTCCTTTACTGTTTATTTTTTGTTTTCCACTTTCTATATCCATAATCATAATCCGGACAAAGGGTTTGGTTGTGATATCTTTAATTTGTAATGGTTCACACCGATGAATTGTAATACAAATGAGCTCATCTGAAAAGTAAATTTTAAAACATGTTAACAGTGAATATAAAAAAAAATTTCAATTTCAAAAATTTACTTTTTTGGAGCAGCACCATAGCAAGCTAGAGCTAAAAGTAGAGGAGATACTCTCCACCAGAATGGACTCAAGTTTATTTAATAGCTTAAGATAGAGAATCTACCTTAAGGTACTATTTCTCTGGTACTGCCCACGGTAGCGACTGTCATTTCCTACTGCCAACTATTCATGCTTGGCTATTTTGCTGAAACTGCTCACCGTTGCAGCCAAATCCCCTCGATTTAGCATCCTTGTTTTAAATAATTTTAAATAAAAATGTTAGCCTTAAATTTCATGGCTTTCATTTGTATCGGAAGGACAGCAATACATATAATAAAGCTGGAGTTTCGATATTATTTATTGATATAAACATTTTTCTGATGTTTAAAGTTGAATAACAAAGTAATGCTAATTATCTACAAATTAATGCCCACTTTCGACAGAATGGTGGTTTCTTGTAATATTTTGAATAGAAATTATCTGCCTCTTGACAGAAAAAAGATGAAAAAACATTATTTTGAGAATTGATGGTTCTCTGATTTTAAATATATAACTTATTATTTGTATGATTATTTCAGTAATAAATATAATCATAACCACCTTGCCTCCTTAATGAGTCTCCATCAGGTGGCTCAATACTGTTTAATGATTTTTGGATTTAGATATATTTGAATTACTCTATAAAATACTTTATGTGTAATAAAGAATCTTGTTATTTCAACCTTTAAAAAATGATTCTATATAGCTTTGTTTAAATGTTAAACAATTTTTAATTTAATTTTCCCTGAGTTGATGAAATAAAACATGTCAAGGTGACTGTTATCATGAAAACTTTTCTCCGATATGAAAACTATAGCCGACATACAACCAAAAGCTTCACTATTTCAGGAGCGGTCAAAAAGCAGCAGTATAGATATGACGCCATACCAAGACTGGCAAGCAGTTCCAATGAAAAAGGGTCTTTTCTATTCCATTAAAGCAGTGGTTTACTGCTAGCAGTGGGTGTAATGTGCAGTACTGCTATTACAAGCAATGCTACTATAAGCAATCATAAACAATGATACTAGCAAAATAGTATCTTTACCTCTCTGGTCATCACTTCATTATTTATTGCACTAAAACTCCAATATGTCCTCTAATAAGTAAAAATATATAATAAACTAAAAATAATGTGAACAAATTTAAATGTCATTTCTATTTACTTTTTTTAGCAGATTTCAGAATTTTGCTGTTTATAGGTGATGACTTTTCAGATATATTCTCATTCTTTTCTACATGAGAATTTTGAGTAGTATCCTCAGAATTTGAATCTTTTAATTTTTTTTTCTTTTTATGTTTCTTTAGCCTGAAACATAAGATGACATTTAAATTAGTTCATCCACTAAATTACTTCAATCAATGACAATATGTAAGCAAACTTTCATATTGCATAATATTATAACTCACATATTAAAATTCTATATTAAAAAATACAAAATAATTGTCATTGAATTGTAAAAAGCTACAGCCATTTAATAATTTTTTTTTTAATATTTGGCAAAAAGTAAATTAATTAAATAAATATTGTACAGGTAATAGAAATGAAGTGTCTATAAATTATTTAGACTAAAGTAAATTAAATAAGTAAGACCTACCTTTGTTTTGGAAGAGTACCAGTGTCCTTATAATCTAATGAAGAGCTTGTACAATAGCTCTGAGGAGAACCATGAATACTTTTATTACTTTCTGCTGTAACTAAATTTTCAACTGATTTGTTTAATGTCTTCCTCGGAAGTGGTAGGGGAGGAGAATTGTAACTGGAAGCTGAATGGTTACTTTTAATTTCCATATTATTTTCTGAGCTCTCAATTTCTAGTGGCTTAACATTAATAGGTATGTTTGTATTAAATGAATTATTATTACTATTGTCTGATACTTTCAATGGTATTTTGGATCTGGGAGGTACCAATGGCTTAACGAAGATCTTTTCTGATTCAGATTCATCGCTAAGAGTTTCTGTAGCATATCCTGATGGCTTTTTCTTTTTATTAGAATCCAATAAAGGAATAAGCTTAATTTTGTTTGAAGAAGGACTAGAAGATTTGTCACTAAAAGTTTCATTTCCATTTTTCTGATTCCCTCCATCATTCTCATTAATATTTTGGATTTCTATGTCACCAGCATTATTTAATGATTCCTCAGATTTCAGTATTTTCTTTTTTGAAACTGAAAAAGTAGACTTCCTTCGGAGTCTTTTTTTCTTTTTATCTGCAGCTAAATTATTCTCACTAGATGCTGAATTACTACCAACAGAAGTGTGCACTTCTGCTTTATGGACAAGCTGAATCCTACAACGCATAAAATAACATTATTCTGTTGTACCTAAAAAACAATAATTATAATAAAGAACAATCGTATTTTAAGTTGATATTAAAATTCAAGATTTTACTAATAAAGACATTTAAATTTTTAAGGCAAATGACAACCAATAAATTTTTTTTTACCAAACAACAAACATTATAAATTATGCTCATTATAAAATATAATGAATTATTTAGGTGACAAGAATAAAGGATTTTGAGCTTTATACACAACTAATTTTAATTTTGTAGAAGAGGGTTCTGATTGAATACAAAGCTATACAGACACGGATATTTTACTACCATAGTTTATACTTCATAATAAGTATGAGACTATAATTTATGATAACATAATTATTATAAAATATAAAAACTGGGTGAACATTTAATCTTTGTAGCCCTTTCAAATGAATAACTATAAATTTAAACCAACTGGAGATTGTCAAACATTTCTATAGAAGGGAAAAAATATAATAGCAGAGTTTAAAACCATTATTCACGCAATTATTTAAATTAAAAACAAATCAATTTGAAAAAAATAATTTGTTTATAATCTCAAAAATATAAATTGGCATAGATACTACCGAAATAATTGGACTTCTAAATAATAAGCCAAACAAAAGTATTAAAAATAAGAACTCACCCTGACTTGCTTTGAGGTCTAGGAAAGGATCCTTCCTGGTCAGTGCTGTCACTGGCAAATGCATTTCCTTTAGATTTCCTTCTAGGTAGGGGATTGGGGACTGCCATAAAAATATGTAAAAATAGAAAGTAAATAACAAGATAACAAGAACACAAGGCAAATAAAACACTTTTAAAGTGTGTTACCAAGGTAAACAGTGGTAACTAAGGAATGCATAAGATGAAGTATGTGAATTTAACCTACAGTATGTTTTATGTTTCCATTAATCATTAAACAGAACAAAGTCTATGTTGTGCAGTGGATTGATAGAACGTTTTGTTCTGTACATTGGTAAAAAAAAAAACTCAAATTTAAATTATCATTTCCTCAACTGCACTACCCTTCAATATCATTTTTCTATATTTAATTTCCTACTTTTAAACTTAACAATCAATCTGTAGCACTATCCAACAGGGATCCAGGATTTAATTTTGGAAGGAGAGGGGGCTTCAGCCCGAAAATTTTTATATGTATAAATATATACATATAAAAATTTTCGGGCTGAAGCCCCCTCTCCTTCCAAAATTAAATCCTGGATCCATGTTGGGTAATGCTATTATATATATATATAACGCTAATTACTTCGGAATAAAAATAAAGAAACTAACTACCTATATGAAATGCCTATTATTATACTATATTATCCTTAATATATACTACATTACAGTATACTACCTCTTTAATTTTAATTCGTTTTCGTTCTCTTTAATCTCACGTTTTACGTTCTTTTTTCAGTAATACTGCATAATTATTTAATATTAATTATCTCTATTTTATACTATCCAGGTACCTTATTTCTATCCTCTTTCTATCACTAGTGGATCCAGCTGGAGGCGCCCTCTCCCTGGAAGCTAGAAAAAAAGTTCCAAAAAGTAGCAAAGGAGAAATATATGGAAAATTCATTCTCATAGACGATGAATTTAATGTAAAAAAAAACTATTATCGTGACCAACAATAGCAAATTCGGCAAGTGACTGCACCCTCCCATGGATTTTGAAAAAAAAAATCCGAAAAAAGTGACAAAAACACTATTTAAAGAAAAGAGAAATGTAGGGAAAATTCATCCTCATACACGAATTTCCTAATGTAATAAAAAAAAAAATTATCGTTACCAGCATTAGCGAATTCTGCCAGGGGGCGCGTCTTGCCTTAGAAGGTGGCCGACTCAAGTTTCTCTAAATCAGCCGCTGTTATTAAAAGCAGCGGCTTTGGAATGACAGACAAGGTTAATTTTACTTAAACAACATATATTTACTTAATTTACATTCAAACCTGCACCTACGATAAGGTCGATTTTCGGATCCTGGTCCCATGGTTACCTAAGTCGTTTAACGATCTAAAATTTGTAATATTTCAGTACAATATACATTAGAAATAAAATTATTATTTTTAGAATAAGAATATTGGTTGTGAATTAGTGAAAAAAAGGGCCAAGAGATTGGGGTGTCATTCTTTAATTCACACCTCCCAAGTTTTATCCAAATTATTTTTATTTATTTATGTATACGCCACATCTTTCATGGCATATTAAACTATACGAATGTTTGCAGCCATTTGATGTCACGAATAGCTTTATAACAATGTCCTACTACTATAAAACAGCAAACAATTTTTCATCGTGATAAGTTCCTAGACTCAGCGCTAATACATTGATGGGTTTCCGATGCTCATTGATCTCAACGCTGAGTTTTGGAACTAGCCCACTGTTACGTCGATGAGTTTGGGAACGGTCTGATAGAATTCCGATGTCCATCATCTCAATGCTGATTTTAGGAGCATGCCCCTTGATTCTTTAATTTTAGATAGCCTAGGGTTTAGGGTGAATTCCGTCGTCCCCTTATTTGGGCTCCAATATTGAAATGCGCTTGAGCCAGTGCAATTTTCTAGTCAAATACAAATTTCTTGAACTCCGGGAAGTTCTTCTCACTCACCAACTAAGGAAATTCCACCTCAGTGAGGACGTTAATTCCCGTAGTTCTCATGAATGTTACTTTTAATCCGTCAAATCCAGGCGGTGACCATATGCTAGGCAGTCTCTAGAAAACGACAAGTTGATCAGTGAGGACCTATGTACTGGTCAAGGCAAGTAAGCTTGACTCGAAAACACCCATACGCCGTGAGGTATTGTGAAACCGATTATATCTAAATCAATTGAGGATCAAGGCAAAGTTTATGAATATTTTCATGTTTCGTAATTATTTTATCTCGTTATATCTTCAGTCTATCGAGTTGCCAGTAACGCAGCAGTTCGCTCAGCCATTCCGCCCCCAGTATCTGACAATCTTAGTTCTTGTTCCTTTTCTATATCATATTCTTTCTTTAGTTCTCCTACATGCAGACTGGAGGATTAATAGTTCTCGATTGTAATCCTTTCTCTTACAAAGTCAGAAGCCGAATACTTTCTCTTTGTAATGTCTTTCTGATTTACTTCTTCCTCCCACAAATTCTGGAGGTCTGAATACCCTTCATTTGCGGTTACCTTTTCCAAGATGCTTTAAGATGAACATTCTATGCTTGCTCACTGTCTTAACATTTCTCCGACCCATCCAGTGACATTTACGTATTATTTGTACAAGCCCTCCTTGTAATCCTACATCACTTACTCACGACAATTAGAGATGACACATTTTCTATTCCTCGATAAATTAAATCTGAGACGTTATTCAGATTGTAGAATATTGATAAAATTATTTTTATGAATTAAAAATTTGTTCGTAAAATTAGCTATTGCCAGTAGTTCAAGTTTTAGACTTATTGCCATATATTTTATTAACAACCATATCGTAATGTTAAAACATTTTCAATTCATTTCTAATGGTATTAGGAAATTCTAATTAAAGAACCCACATAGATTTACGTAGATAGATAGATAGATAGATAGAAAAAAAAACTTTATTCTGGGACTAAGTCCCTTCAGAATAACAATAATGTACAAAATAATAGAATATTACTGGCCTGAACATTGAAACAATAAATAAAATTGATAAAATAAAATGAAAAGTAAAGAAAACCTTAGGTGCACAAGCTATATACAAAGAGATAAAACTATGTACAGAGCATTTAAAATTATGAACAAAACAATTAAAACTATGAACGAATCACTTGAACTATGAACAAAATTATATTTAAGGGTTGAACAACATATACATACACTTTGAGAAATGAAGAACGAAAAAGAGATACAATGAGTTCATTTCATGAAAAAAAAAAAAACTTTACTTGAATATATATATAAAAATAAACAGTTACTTATAATTGAATAAAAAAAAAAATATAAAAAAAAATGTATGTATTGAAATTCCTACGTCGATAGTAGGAAATGCATGTACTATCTCTTACCAAGTGTTATGATTATATGATTGCTACACAATACATATATAATATCAATAGTTAGCTGGTATCAGACTGTTTTTGGAACAGGAATTGGAATAGGAGGTTTTTGAATGTATACAGGGAAGGGGCATGTCGAATTTTGATCGGGAGAGAATTCCAAAAGTTGACAGAGCGGGCTATAAAGGAATTTTGGAATGAGGCAGATCTATGAGAAGGGATGTATAGGTCAGAGGGTCGGGATCTTGTAGTGAGTGAATGGATTGAGGACTTAAATTGGAGAAGGTTGTAGGCATAAGAAGGACGATGATCGGTAATGATTTGATAAAGGAAAGTGCCAAGGAAATATTGTCTTCTTAAGGAGGGGAAGAGCCACCCTAACTCAGTGTAGTGGTGGGAGACACGGGAGCGTCTCGGGGTTCCAATTACAAATCTTACGAAGCAATTCATAAGTCTTTTGAGTCTATCACGCAGTTCCACCGAGAGGCCATCGTACACCACACAGCTGTAGTCAAAGTGGGGAAAGATGAGAGAGGAAACTATGAGTCTACGGGTATTTTGGGGTAGAAGATGGCGGAAGTGATGGAATAGTTTGAGGGTAGAAATTGCACGGCGGGATATATGAGAGATATGGTGATTCCAGGAAAGGGTTTGATCTATGAGAAAGCCTAAATTTTTAACAAAGGGATAGAAGGTGATGGGGTGGTTGTTTAGATAGAGTGAGGGAAAGTTGGTGTGAGATCTAAGAAGGGGCTTGGAACCAATGAGAATGGCCTGAGTTTTGGCAGCATTTAGCCTTAATCCATTTAAGTTGGCCCAGGCACTAATTCGATCTAAATCTTCTTGAATTTTGGCAAATGCCACCAATAACTCAGCGGGAGAAAAGGATAAATAGATTTGAGAATCGTCGGCATAAAGGTGGTGGGAACAATGGATAATTGAATCATTTAGGTCATTAATATAAGAACTGAAAAGAAGAGGAGACATGCTTGAACCCTGTGCAACTCCTGAGGATAAAGGAAGGTAGGCAGATAGAGGTTGATTAGGTATGGAAACTGCTTGGGTGCGTTGTGAGAGGAAAGACTGGAACCAAGAGATGGAACTATTGGAGAAGGATAATGATTTTAGTTTGTTGAAAAGGATGGAATGGATAATGGAATCGAAAGCTTTGGAGAAATCAAGCAGTATAAGTATGGTTAGTTTTTTGTCATCTATTGCAGTCTGGATATCACTAGTAATTTTAATCAGAGCAGATTGTGTAGAGTAGCCAGGACGGAAGCCAGATTGGAGAGGATCGAGTTGGTTGGATTGTTCAAGGTAGTTGGAAACTTGGGATTGCACTAACTTTTCTAGGGGTTTAGAAAGATTGGAAAGGATTGATATTGGGCGGAAATCTTCGGGAGAGGATGGATTAGGCTTTTTGTTTAAAGGAAGGACAATGGCTTTTTTCCAAGAGGTCGGGAATATTGAATTCTGCAGAGAGAAATTGTAGATGAAAAGGAGTGCTGGGAGGATTTCAGGGAGACATAATTTTATTAGTTTGATAGGAATGCCATCTGGGCCTACGGAATTGGAACGGGATTTCATTATAACGGTAATAAGGTCTGTGGGAGAAATGTATGAAAAATAAAAATTATTGTCGTTAAAAGGTACCTCTGGAGAAAAGCCGGAAGGGGATGGTAAAGAAGAGGTGGAAACCGATATAAAGTGGGAGTTTAGGTCATCAGGTGATATTGGGAAAACTGAGGAAGGGGATCTAGAAGGTTCACAGAGGGAAAGCTTACGAAGTAGAAGCCATTTTGATTTGATATCAGGAGCTGAGGAAAGGGCTTCGTGAAAGTAGTTCGCTTTCGCTTGTCGGATCCTTGTCTGTGTCGTGTTACGAAGCACTCTGAATATTTGATAATCATCTGCAAGCCTAGTCCGTCTGAAGCGTCTGCGTGCAGCGTCGCGTCTCTTCTGCAGATCCTTAATTTCCTGACACATCCAAGGAGCAGGACGATGACGGAAAGTGGAGGTTTTCAGAGGAGCGTGGGTATTGAGTATATTGAGAAGATTGGTGGTGAGAATATCAACCATGGTGTCGACAGAGGAGCAATGATATATTCCATTCAAATCCAATGTTACTAGATCAGGTAATATTTTTTCTCGACTAAGGGTATCCAGTTGGCGGAAAGTGATAGTTCGAGGATGGATTGGAGGAGTGCGGATATTATACGTTATTTGTATCAGATCATGAGATAAAAGAAAGGATACTGGCAATTGAGAGGCGGAGAGGAGGTTTTGTGCTGAGTCGATGATGTAGTAGTCTAGCCAAGTGTCAGATCTGGTGGTGTGGTGGGTGGAGGAAAAAGGAACGATGAATAGCGTAGTACTGGCCTTAGACTTATGGCGCCCCTGGGTAATGACGTCATCTTCCAACGAATATAATTTAATTTATTTCTTAAACTGTTTTTTATGAAGTAATATTTCAACTTATTTCATTCAATATTTCTCTAAATCAGTGGCATTGTTAATATGCTAAATTTATTTATTCTCATACACTTTATATTGTTTTTTTTATTTATATCAAGTGGAGGGCGCCCCTCTGCGGGCAATTCACGGGTCTTGATTGATCGGGGCAATTCACCCGGTTGTCTGGTCCTATGGCTGGCACTGGATTTAGGAATGAATGAAGATTATATCGAAACTTTCATTCATATCTCTTTGTGCTTGGCTCTGATGTTCCTATTTGGATTTTGGGCGCTACGATTCTTATTTGAACCTTATGTTTTGTAATTTTGATAGACAGTGACGTTTGATGGACTTTTTTCCCTGAACTTTCTTATTAACTTTTAGTACCTCTAATTAATGATTTGAACCAATTTCCATAAATCTCTTAAATATGCTGGAATATTCTTTTTTTGTTTTTTGTGTGAAATAAAAAAAATTGGATGCCTTTATGTTGAATAATGGATATTAAAATATTCATTATTTTATCTGTTCTGTTTATCTCACAATGCTTTGCTGAAGATCTTAATTTATTGATACATGGTCCTGGTTTACAACCAGATAAAGTAGTTTTACCTGCTCGCTATTTTTATGTTCAGTTCCCTGACAAAATTCCTGATGAGTCAGTATATATAACAAATGTGGAAGTAGCAACTCTTACATAATGTCATGGATTAATTTATTATTTTCTTTAGGACTTTAAGCATCAGAACCTTAAATGTTAGCTTCAGAGGTGCCTCTAAGGAGCAAAGACCCTGCCATATATGGCACCAAGTTCTCTATACAAATGATAACTCTGCTATTGTTAGATACAGACTTTATGAAACATGTTATGACTTAGTTATTAGTGTTAAGTTCAACTCTAACCATGTTAGTGGCTCACCATTTTTTTTCAAAGGTATTTTTGGTTATTTTTAGTCTGTTTGATTAAATTAATATATTTGATTTTCTAAATGTTTCAATCTCAGACTGGTATTAACTTTGAATTTGCAATTATATAAATATTAACTTAAGTTCCTAATATCTTTACTATCTTGAATGAAGTGAATTTTGCTATTTCAAACTTAATATAATTAAATAAATTGTTGGTGCTAATTTTATAACATATCTAATATGTTTGATTGTACCCAGTACTAAGTATGTATTCATCACCAATGTCCAGTACTTGTGTTTAGCATAATTACAAAGGCATAAAAGTAGAACCCAAGCAACAATTATGTTGCGTTTAAGCAAAAGGAATCACTCTTTTTATTATTTCATAAAAACAATTTGTATGTAGTTCTAAGTACATAATTCAATTGTGATAAAAAAAAAATCATCTTTTACACATAATTAAATTAAATATTAATATGTATGTATACTTTATTAAGGTACACATTTTTTAATATTTTATTTCTGAAATCGATTTATCTCGCTGAAAACAGGAAGAGTAGCAGAAATAGATAGGATTGCCCTTAAATGATAAAGTATATGAACCAAAAGAGGATAGAATAGAATAAAAATAGCAAAACAAAATATGAGATCATATCAAATGCCATACAAATATCTTCAGCCTGTATTTTTCTCTCTACTTTCTACTACATGGTTTTCGGAATCAATGGAGGAAACCTACAATTCAACCTCCTCATTATTCAAGAAGAATTAAATAAAAGAAATATGCAAATAAATTTGGAAAAAACAAAACTATGAGGATTGGCAGAAAACAAGGAACAGGAGACAGAATAGTGCACTTTAGTGAAGTTCCATTGGAACAAGTGAAGAATTTTAAATACCTCGGTGCCCATATCACTAAATATGGATGAATCAACGGAGAAATAAAGGAAAGAGTGAAGTTTGCAGGAAGGTGTTTCAACACCATTAAGAAAGGATTCTTGAACAAGATAGAAGTGAGCAGGGAGACCAAAATGACGGTGTACAAAATACTTTTCTCCAGATAATGACCTACTCTAGAGATTCTTGGCCTCTCACCACTAAACACATCAGTAAAATTCAGGCCATGAAGATGCGATTCCTGTGCAGGGTTGAAGGAAAAATGAAGAGAGATCGCATAAGGAACTCCACAATAAGGAAAAATATAAATGTAAGACCAGCCAAAACTGTGATTGAGGAAAATTGTTTGAGATGGTTTGGCCATATCTCTCGAATGCCAGAGAACTGAATGACCAGGATGGCGTTGAAAATTAAAGTTGAGGAAAGAAGATCTCAGGGAAGACTTGGGAGGTCAGTGTCAAAAAGGCCTTTGACTGAAGGAGGAGGCGGCAGTTGGCTCAGGATCAAGAGTTGTGGATTTGGCTCTATATAAAGGCTCCTCACACTGCTCAGAGCTCACCGGTAGAAGATATAACAATTAAGAAAGAAGAGAGAGAAATCGCTTTAATTCTGCATGTGGTGCCTGCACAAAATATATGTATATATTTATTTATTTTTTTGGAAGCCAAAAGACAAAATTTCTAATGAATTCTAGAAATAAAGATGTTCTATTGCTAATTGTTGACAACCATATTCTCCACCTACTACTGCAGACTCAAAATATATCATAGAGATTACAAGAAATTTATTATTCTGATTTAAAAAAGTATTATTCCAGAATTATTATCATTGTTAATTGTAAAAACGATGATCAGAATTTGATTTTTTAATTATCAATTTCAAATCCTGTAAAGAAAAAAAAACCAAGAAAATTTTTTTATATTATCTGTTGTAAAAAAATATTTCTTATCAACTGAAAGATCTTTTTCCATTGAGTCTCTATTTTTCAATCAGCAGATCAATGCTGTTAAATATCCTTAATTTTAATATTACAAGTTACTGTACATATGAAATGTGCATCATAAGATAATTCAGAGTTTCAGAACCAATTTTTCTTAGTAAATTTCCTAATAAAAATTCTTACTAAATTGCTTCTGAAACCATTTTCATATATATATATATATATATATATATATATATATATATATATATATATATATATATATATATATATATATATATATATATATAATATACTCACACATTTCTTTTGTTATTAGTATAAGAATAATTTTTGAAACTTGCGTTTTATTTATTAAATATGATACAGGTCCTATTTTGCATGAAGATTGTAACTGTCCAGAAAAAGACATAACACGTTGGTTAGCTGATTATGGTTGTAGAGAAGTCCATAAGAAAATTGTTAGTGATTTAAGCAAGTTTACTAATGTGAATTTTGAGAAGTTTCACGAAAAAGCTGTGAAAAGATTCAATAATTCATTGTCATCGAGTGTATGTCATTATGTGATCAAGTCAAATAAGGTACAGTTGTCAGGTAATTAACAATATATTTTTTGAAATATTAGCTATTAGCTTTGGTTTTGTTTTAGATTTACAGATCTTGCTATGGCCAACATATTGGATTTAAAGTATTTATGGATGGAATATTACTTTCACTCACGAGAAAAGTTGTATTTCCTGATTTTGAAATTTTTACAAATCTCGGAGATTGGCCATTGATGCAAAAAGATAATAAAAACAATTTTCCTATGTTTTCTTGGTGTGGATCTCATGATACTGTCGATATTGTTATGCCTACTTATGATATCACTGATTCATCATTAGAAAACATGGGAAGGTGATTATTTACTTTTTTCTGTAATACCATAAATTCCAATTATAAATCTGTCTTTATTGCTAATTCTATCATTTAATCATCTTTATATGATTCTGGATCTTGCAAAGTAAATTTGCTGAAGAGATTTTCCTGTGGTTATTGCATTCCATTTTACCACTTTTTCTGTGCATATAAACAATTTCCAAGTATTTTTTAGCTGAGCCATGTCCGTTCGATGATGTGATGTTTCTTGACTTCACTCTTGTAGACTAGTATCTCTGGTATATTGTGCCATCTGGCATTAAGTAATTTAACTTTGCTGATAAATCAAATTTAATACTGATAACATCTGCTGCTTAAACATAACCTCTTTTTTTATCCTAAAATTAAGTCTTGAAAGTATTATTTCTATGTTGTTTGTTCTTAAAATATTCCTACTTCCATTTAGTGGATAGATGGCAATTTATGTTCCTTTTTTTTTGGTACCACTTTATACTGTGGGCCAAGATCTGTTGACGTGAATGGGATTCTGAGAGTAGGCAAGGATTGATGTGTTCACAGTATAACCTCCTTTTATTTACATTGTGATTTAAAACTTTGACAAACTCCCCCCTAGTGGTCCTTTTTCTTGGTTTAAATCAGGGCCTTATTTAGTATTTATTGTATCATTGCTTTTGACTCCTGTTCACTCTCAGGGGATAAACAAACACTCAATGGGTTCTTTTCACTGAACTTCGGGACCTTATCGCACGGTCCAGTCACTTTTGTATATTATTGAACACGATCGGCCATTTTCGAGATTCCATTTATCATGAGATCTTGTGCCACTACTGATGAAAGTGGAGCGACATTTATTTTTTCTTTTCCATACCCTAAATTACATTATTTAAACTGAAGAAAAGGTCTCTACTTAAGATCTTAAGAGGGCTATTTGTTGAAAATGTTTTATCAGAATCAAAGAAGTATGATATATAATTTAAAAATAAAAAATCTTAACTTAGAAACCAATATAGCTCATTAGTAAAACTTGATTAGCCTTCAGAAATTTATTTTAGGAACAGAAAAGGATCTTTAATCAATTCCAAATAGTAAAATATTACTAAACTGTCTTGGAGATAATAATGAAGAATTTTGAAAATTGAGCTTACATTTTCAATATTATTCATTTTTGACAGAGAATAAAACAAGGTGAGGTGTACATTTGTGTGCATAATCACTTCATGCTTTTGAAGTATTTTAAAGGAAAATAAGCTTGAAAAATAAATTTAAGGAACATTTATAATTCTTTCCACCAAGATTGTCACAACACCAAAGGTAAACATTACTACTGGGATCTTAGCTGATTTTCAGTATCTGGTAGGTAGGGGGTGGTATATTTATTTATTTATTTATTATATATATATATATATATATATATATATATATTTGCCCTTAATCAAGAATCATCCATATTTTTTGTTATGGCCTTGTACTCATAAATAATATCTTTTATTGATAAAATGCATCATTTGTCTTATTTGTTCTGGATTCTCAGCTGCAATTGAAGAATAAATTATAATTTCATTTTAAAAATTTAATTGTGATTGGTGAGTTAATCCATAAAACATTGTTAAAACCTGATAGTAATTTAATAGTCAGGTGGCTTAAGAGAGTTACCATTACTTAATGAATAAAAGTAGAGTATACTAATGAATATTAGCCTAGGAACCCCTAAATTTTTTTTAAAAATTCCTCTATGGCCCTTAAGTCCAAAATGTTAGCCAAAATGACTAAATGTCACTTGTAACACCATCTATTTTTTACTGTTAATTAGATCATTAAATTTACTAACGATAACTATATTAAAAACCTAATTTAGGATAGTTTAAGCATTAAATAAAGTACAGTTAAATATTTATATATGCTCTCCACTAGGTAAGCGCAAATATAATTTATTATAACTGTTGCATACTTAATTCAATTGGATGAGTAGCAATAAATCTTTTAGTTTTATTATTTTTAATTATGAATCTTTGGAACTGATGAGAAAACAAACTCAAAACTTTACATTACACGATTCGAAGCCTTCCTAATTTAAATTTTTAAAAATTCGTTCGTACATGGTTTTTCACCGAGACCATTAAATCAATTTTTAGATTTTACAAATAATTTACAGGTCACTCCAGGATGATCCTGGGAACTCAGCATTACCATCCACCATTCCATTTAAAAATGGTGCCCGGAAAACCTGTTTTTCTAAAGACAGTCATCCCAAAACGGCTGTACCACATTTTTGATGAAAGTTGCCTAAGGTCTCCTCAAAGCTGCTTAGATTAGATAATTTCATGTAAGATAAACATCAAAGTATGTTTATATATATATATATATAAACATACTTTCTCTGAAACAAATATGGAAAAGAAGTTATTATGAATGTAATATTTTATTTGTGAATAACTATAAATCTTTTGGTGATTTAATAATTACCTAATTAAAGTTCTCGACATGTTTTTGTTTTAATATTTTAAATAATGAACCTGTTTAACTGACTTAGAAATAAAATATATACCTTGTATATTTATTTAAAAATTAACAGAATTTCCTGAAAAACCAAATATATAATCGAAATCGGACTACTTGTTGCTGATTTACATTGTTTTGACTTATGTGAACATGGTCCTATATATCTTCTGAAGAATAACTTTAAAATATATATACATAGATATCTTTAGAACTCTATGATTGAACCATTGTACAATAATTTTTATTGAACCTTTTGTTAATTTTATACTTGCTTATATGATTTTTATATATTCATATTTTATATATATTTGTATGAGCACATTAATGATAATGTATAACATGTACTTATGATTAACATTAGCTTACAAAATAATCGCTTTCTGAACAAAATGCATCACCTCAATATCATTTTAACACTCTCATATAAGTAGAAATATAAAACTGACAACATTTTTTGCTAAAAAAAAAAGGGAGCTCCTAGGCTAAAATTAATTAGTGTATCGTAAGATATATTCACACCAAATTTAATACTTTTATACGTGATATAATGGTAACCTTAAAATTTAGCCCTAAGCCACCTGACTCTAAAGGGAAGGAAACTTTGACAATTGTCTAATCTTAATCTGAATGGCCCAAATATTTTAGAATGAATTCTCTTTGTTTTTATCACTTCTTTGTACTAGCTGTCGTTTAAATAGTAAGCTTATTTTCTCATCCAAAATCATTATTGTGAATTATAATCTGTTTCTTTAGCCATTGTTTGTGAGGTGAGATTATTCTATTTATAATTTCTTGAAATGAATTTGTCTGTATAATAGATTTTATTTTTGTATAATTTTTTCAGAGTCTCATTGGATATGTTATCAGTACAAGGAAACATAGAGAAAAATTGGGATAAGAAAGTAAATATGGCTTTCTGGCGCGGAAGAGATGCAAGCCTTGAAAGATTGAAGCTTATCGAGATTTCGAGAAAATTTCCAGATTTGATTAATGCTTCTTTAACTAATTTCTTCTTTTTTCGTGATAAAGAAGATAAATATGGTCCGAAAGTTGAGCATGTTTCATTTTTCAAATTCTTCGACGTAAGTATGTAGTTGTAATTATTAATTTAACCAAGCTTTGTATATTTGCTGAAGTAATATTTTTTTTATTTCTAGTACAAGTATCAGTTAAATTTAGATGGAACAGTTGCTGCGTATCGTTTTCCTTATCTACTCGCTGGTGATTCAGTTGTTTTTAAACAAGATTCAAAGTATTATGAACATTTTTATGACGATCTTCAACCTTGGAAGCACTATATTCCTGTGAAATCAAATCTAGAAAATCTTATTGAAAGGTTGAAGTGGGCCTTGGAAAATGATGGAAAAGCAAAGGAAATAGCTGAAGTAGGACAGATGTATGCTAGGAACAACCTATTGCCTCGGGATATTTTCTGTTATCATGCACACCTTTTTAATGTAAGTAAAACAATATTAAAAATTGTATATCTCTTTATTTAAGATATAAATGAGCATGGAATAGGCACCAAGCACTGAAATATAAAAGTTGAAAAGTACAAAAAATTACAATTTCATTTTTAGGAATGGAGCAAAAAGCTTGAAAGTCCTGTCACTGTTAGGAATGGAATGGAATACATACCACAAAAAAGCACAAAAGGATGTGTTTGTGAACAAAGTAAAAAAGATGAGCTTTAAATTAAAGAGTACTTAAAAAATCTATATTTTGTAGATGAGAATAAATATTTGTACCAAACAAGTGATTTAATATCAGCCTACTTTTGTTTTTGTGTATGGGTCTGGTTCTGAGGAGAGGTATTGATGGATATTTATTTATTTTTTTTTACATATAAAGCGTGTATTTTCAACAGTTATATCCACAAGCTCAATCCATACATTGCTTTGGCTATGTAAACTTTATTCATAACAAAATCATATCTTGTATAATAGGTCTTTCATCTTTAAAAATATATATTTATATTATAATATAATTCAACATGTATCAATGTTTGGCACAAAATTAGTTTTTTGCTGAAACAATTAACTGCCCCACCTAAATCATTAGTGAAGCATTACAAACATTATCTATTTCATGTGTCTTACGTATCTAGTTATTCTATATTTTATGCCTTCAGCGAAGGGTTTCCCCTACATTTATGAGGGAAGATCTTAAAGAATTTGTTATTTGAGGTATATTAAATAGACCAGTACGATAATTATATGTATTAAAAATTATTTTTAGTTTTAATACACATAAAATTAGTACAACGAAAACTCAATATTTTTTTAAAACATTATCAGAAAATTTGCATTACGAAAATATATTATATTAATGCATGGTGAGGTCCGTTGGCATGCTTGAACAGTTATGGCCAACAGATAATTAATTTGGCATTTACCATGTTGAAAGCGTCTGAATTTATACATAAAGGCCCTATAGATATGCAAAATATACCCAATGGTCTTGCAAGACTTCAATGTCTCATAGCTTAGGGATAGCCTCTTGTACTTTACTCCCTGATACATATATATATTTTTTTTTACATATTATTAAAATATTTGGCTGAAGCTCAAAGGCTACTGGACAACTTTTCAGAGATTGTTTACAGAGGCAATAAGGCAATGATATGCTGTTTTGTAGAAAACAAATAATAATTAATATACCTTAAATCATCAACATTTTAAGTTTCGCTTATAGTTTCAACAAACTTTTTAGCCTACATTTAATATCCTTCATTCTCACTATAACCCTGCAGTTTCAAACTATTTGAATTTATTAACAAAATTATCATTAAAATTGAAAACAATGCTTTGTGGCAAGTTTAAGTATCTTGTTTATCAATTTTTATTTTTAATAAATTTTTACTAAGAACTAAACAGTAAAAGTTTAAAATATGTTTAGTTCCAAAACCTATATTTTAATTTCTAATAAATTACTTGTCGGTTAATCTTTTAAGTTATGTGGTTTGGAAATAATGATAAAATTATTGTTGTTAACAAAGCTTAAACCAGGTTTGGTTGAATGGTATCATCAGTATATTATGACAATAATAAAGCAAAATAGTTCTATATTAAATTATACAAGCGTTTTTTAGTTGAGTAACCATAGACCTAAACTTGCCCATTACATGAAAACAGTTCTGAATTCCCTAACTTGAAATAAATAAAAAATTAGTGTTAAGTTCATATTTTCTTTTATTAAAAACAACATTTATAATTTTTCATTAATTACAAATAATTTAATCCTAATGTTGTTTTAAAAGTTTTTATAACCCTTTCAATTTTATGTTTTTAAGTGATGGAAACACCATTTATTGGTTCTATTTACTTAATTTAAATGCATTTTTAATTGATTAGCCGTTATTATTTGTAGCCTTTACAACCTCCCTTTGTCCGTTATTTTTTTACATAGCATTCCAATAAATATAGAACATCTGATATAAACAATGGTGTTTTCATGACTAATATTCCTAACAAAGTTCTGATAATTAACATACATTTCATTCAAAAAGCATTCTTTTTAAAAATATATTCTGTAACAACTATATACCTTCTTAATCAATAACAAACTTATTTTTTTTATTTTTATTTTTTTGAACTTGGTGTCGATACAAACACAGTAGAAAATAAACAATAAGTTGAAAAATAAAAAAAAGGCCACTGAATTGTTATGATAATTGAGGTGTTTCATGCCTCTAGGAAGATTAGAGCGGTTGGTTTTGGCTCCAGGTTAGATTTTTTTGCTTCGACTACAAGGAACTCAATGTGCTGTTTTTCTCGTTGAGCAAACGATTCTGCAATAAGTCTTGCAACTTCTTGATGGTGCATACCTATAATATAATTACAAACACATTATGTTTGGAATTATTACATCTATTTAAGGTCGATAATTGGTTTGACTGTTCTATTTTAGTTACCATCAAAATCTGTACCAATGCCATGAGATAACGCTATTATTTACCATAACAATTTAGACTTCTGTTGTTTTATTCTTATTGCCTGTCTTATTAGGAGGCTGTTTCTTACTTTATACACCTGGGAATAAGTGACATTCCTCCTGCTTAGTCAAAGTTAATTTCAGTTTGAAGCTTAGGTTGTTGTATGGGGAGCCCTTGTTAGCCAATCACCTTAGCGACCATGAGCCAAAGTGGTGCTGGTTCGTTGGCAAAAATTGTTCTCTTAGTACAAAAAGCAACCTTTACAAGACCCTGGGATGCCCAGTGCTCACTTATGGATCAGAAGCATGGGCAACCACCAAGACAGAAGAAAACAGATTATTGATATTCGTGCGACAGGTTCTAAGGAGAAAATTTGGGGCTGTAAGAGAGTGAGAGGTCTGGAGAAAGAGAAATAGAAGAGAGCTCTTTAATGTTTTTAGAGATGACAATATCATGAGAATTTTAAAACTGGAAAGATGTCACTGTGCTGTTCATGTGGCTTGGATGGATGATTTCAAGATCTCAAGTAAAATAATGGCTAAAGAGTCGCACTGAGCAAGAAGAGTGGTATGACCAAGGTATAGAAGATGACAAGATGGTATAGAAGTGGATGTGAGACATTTTTTCATAATTGATTAATAAGCTCTGCGAAGGACAATGTCCGTATTTTTCATCTCTAGTATCTACAGATAAGATAGGAACAGTATAACAGGTGGAGACAACATGAAGATTTTTTTGGTAACCAAAACAGAACAAGATTTTAATTAGGTTGTCTTAGGTAAGAAAAAAAAAGAAAGGTCCAATTCACCACATTACCATAAAATAATAATATTGATTTTTCCCTGACCACTTTTTCTAAAATTTACTTTATTTCAAGAATAAATTACTATTACATAGGCACAAAATATATCAGTATATTTAAAAATAAATCACTAGATTAAATAGATCAATTACATTTTTGTTGATAATTTGGTTCTTCTTGCTTGAGATTCTTTTTGAATATATTGTACATTTCATAAAGTTTGAGCATTATCTCACAATCTAAACTATGCCCACAAAGGTATCTTTTAAATTATTGCCTATAATACTTTAAAATAAATGTTTATAAAATATATTTAATTAAGGTATGAATGATATTAAATTATATATTGTAATTTTTTTTTAATAATATTTTTAACTAACAAAAACCAAAATAAAATATTGGAAACCTGCCTATTTTACTTTTAACATAGAATATACCTTCTACTTTCTGCCCATCAACTTCAAGAATTAACTGGCCCACTTGAAGACCTCCAGCATCATATGCTGCACCATTTTCCTGTGGGAATGAAAATTTTTTTTCTTATAGCTTTTATTTTAACTGTTTAACATAAATATTTTGAACAATATTTAAGAATTCCAAAATATTATCCCCAAGATTTTTTAAAATATTATTTTCATAGAATCATAATTTGGATCGGAGAAAATGAAATTAGGTGGATTTAGTCAGTTATTACACCAATTTGCATCCGTTTTTGCTCCATTTTGCCGTTTTTCAATACTTTTCTATTAATTTTATACTATCATTATAATAAATGGTGGAAGTGATAAACTATCATGAAAAAAATGTAAATGATTCCTAATTTAGTGACTAGATTCAAAATCAGAAAAATTGACATAATCACCAATTTCTATGAAACTTTTTTAAGTGAAAACTTCCTTATGCATGTTTTGCACTTTTTTGTTGGAAAGTGAATTCGATTGAGTCGTCAGATTCCCGATGTGTAACGCTCGGTTAAACTCGGCTGGGGTTGAATAAATGAAGTGTTTTTGCTTATGGATTGAAATATCTCGAAAACTAAAACTAAAAATCGGACCTGCATATTGTTTGTGATGGAAATATTCATCATTTCGTCCTATTTATAATGAGCTATTATTTACAATTGTATTTTAATGTGACACCGAGTGTTAGAGAGGCGAAAAGGCAGAAAATAGTGAGATGATAGTGATTACCAAATGATATTGAGTTTTATTGAATATGGTTTAAATTATCTCAGAAACATAAAATCAGACGTGCATACTGTAAGGGATTGAATTGTTCAGCATTTCCTCCTCTTTATAATTAGCTATTATTCATAATTTATATTTCATATTATTAATATCGCCTTGTTGATGTTTTCACTTCTATCTAATGCACACACCTTAGTTGTTTTTTTTATTAATGCTAGGTCAGCAAATATTAAAAAATGTTTCTTAGAGTATTTTTTCAATGCACTATAGGGGCTGAATCTTTTTAAAATTTTTGTTTTAATTTTTTATATTAAATTTTTATAAATATAATTTCAATATTTTTTATATTATTGTTTTCTGTTTGCTCTGAATGGTCTTCTATTGAGTTTTATATCAGTCAATTTGTTTTTTTGTTTTTTTTGTGTCAATTGAAAAAAATTAGTCTCAACTGTAGTCAAAAGTATAAGAAATTGCTAAAACCTAAATATGTTTCCAGCGAAATATGCCTAGTAATTTTTTTTCATGAAAAAGCTAGTCAGATTATTTTATAGTCTCCTCTAAATCCCTTAAATACAAATATTGAAATAAAAGATATAAATTTTTGGTCTTGGTTTTATTGGAGGATTTATTTTCCAGTCGTTTGCTAAAGCAATGATAAAACCTCAGAATTTTCTCAAAATTCAATTACTACAACCCTTGGAAAGCTAAATTACTCCATCCTATAACAATTACTTTTATATTTTATGTCTTTAGAAAAAAGATATAAAGAAAAACAACTCAAACAGTTTTAAGTTCTAATTTGTTGTTTCTAGTGTATAGAGTGCTATGTTTTGTGGTTTAGATGGAGTGGTGTTGAAGTTATCAATCAATTCTTCTTTCTTTGATTCTTTGGCTCTCAGCGTAAAGCATGAGCCTCGATCGACTTCCTCCACTCACTCAAATCTCCAGCCATTTGACTTGCTGGGTTTTGCATTTTTATTTGCCTTCTCTCCAATCCGTCCTATAGTAGGATTATATTGTCCTACTGGCTGGCCTTTGTTCTTCCGGTCTGATCTCCATGCACCATTTGCTCTTCCAAGTATCAGGAATTATGCACATATATCAAAACCACCTAAGTTGGTATTATTCTAATATATATCTTGAATGAATTGGCTGATAATTGTGTTACCCTCATGTACCTATAAAGTTCTGTCAAATGTACTGTTTGAGAAACTAGTCAGTTAGTTTTTTGTTTTATTCTAATATTTAAAACACTAAGTGTATTAAATAAAGAATTTTTCTTTGCTAGTATTATAGGAATTTTATCTAATTATTTTGAAGCCAAATATGTTTATTTTCTTAGATTTTTACTTGTAATTTAATTGTTTTAATTACATTTGGTGTAAATGGTCAGTTGTTTTAAATGTAAACAATCATCCAGCTTAATTAAATATGAAAACATGTTGAAATGTTTTAGTACAAAGTTCTTATTTAAAAAATAATTGTTGATCTATTTAAAGGGACTAGAATAAATTATTTAAAGAACTTACATTAATATTAATTATACGTGGTAGTGGGTGCCTAGTATTAGCTCCACCTTCAATGGCAATTCCAAGAAGAGGTTTCGTTTTCCTTACAATTATTCTCAAGTTACCTGCTTCGTCTGGAATAACCTGCAATAGAGTTAATCATTAACATCTTCATAATTACAGGGTGGTTTTTGACAAGAAATAAAGATGAATAAGTTTTATTTAGATGGATAATCACGTGTTACTTAATTCAAAACTTCGTATAATTTTATATTAATTACTAAGAGTTACTAAACATAAAGGTATAACTGAATGAAATATGAATAATGTATAATAATTTTATGAATAATAAATGAAAATACTTTACATTATAAAGTTTTTTAAACATAATTATTGTAAATATTTATAACACTTAAAAATTTATAGTAACATTATAAAATTTTGTTTATTGCCTAGGTATTTCTGAGATCAGTGAACTATTAATTAATTTCAATGTTCACAAACATCTTAAAACATTATAGTAATGAGAAGTTAGGTTTTATAAAATTAGTTAAACTTTACAAATGAATATAATATTCATATTTTTAAATTAACATAGAATAAAAAAAAAAAATTTTTTTTTCTTAAATTTATAACACACCAAATGCAAGATTTAGATTAGAAAAGCTTCATAAGCTTTCTAATAGAATCATTCTAATTCTCTTTGAAATAACTACTTCATAAAAAAAAATTGAAGAACAAGTTGTTGAATATAATTATTGCAATTTGAGTTATAAAATTATTTTTCAAAATCAAGATTATAATTTCAATTTTATTTGTCACTTAATGCACTTATCTTCTGGGCCAAGGGCAAATCATGGGAAACGAGCTTGGAGACTGGTGACAAGGAGAGTCAAGGAATGAATCTAAGAGAAATCAGAGAGTGGCTAAGGGGGGGAGGGGAGGAGGGGAGGAGAGCTTTCGGGCTGAAGCACCCCCAAAATGATAAAATATTACTATGTCTTATGAAAAGAATATGACAAAATTATCTCTAAAAGTATTATTGTTCGTGTAATTACATTTCATAGGACTTCAAAAATCACTTAAACACCATTTCATATATGTAGTTAGTTTTTTCTCAAGTAATTATCATTATATTTAAAAAAAAAAAGCTTTCTGGCTGAAGCCCTCCATCCAAAATGAAATCTTGGATCCATTAGTGTATGGCTAGATAATGATACGTATGTAATTCTCTTGGATTCCTTTTCTTATTTCAGTCTTTCCCTGGCCACCAATTTCCTTGCTAAAATCACTCCTGGTGTTTCCCTGTCTGGTCTTATGTTTGTCTACAAAATGATTAGTTGCTTTCTATAAATGTTTGTTGGCTGATTGTTGTTGTATATAACGTTTGAATTCTGTGTGATGTATCAAACCATAATAATAAGATACAGAATATCTGTTTCCAGGTTTTAACTGTGCCTTATCTTATGTCATCACATTATCCCTAGTCATTGGAGTCCTCATGTACTCCAATTAAGAATGAAAAGCAACACTTATGTTTAAACTCCTACTGGCAATAAGAAAAACAAGACAAAAATAAAGTTTTGTTAATAAGTTTGGTTGAAGATTGCCACAGTTACCTGAGCTTGTTGAGGAGTATTCGGCATATGTGACATACTTGACTCTTCCCTCGATTCTTGAGAATTTGCCGAGTCTTCATTTGATCTACCAAAATCCTACACAGACAACTTATTTATGAAGTTGTACTAGAATATTTCATTTTTATTAATTTAATAAAATTCTAATAAAAACTATAAACAACAACTTCATTGTTGTGCTATTTTTAGTAAATAGCTATTAACAATAAACTATGTGCTATGAGCATAAAAATTTAAAGCGTGCATAAATAAAAGTTAAAAAAGAAATAACTATAACCAAAAGAAAATAATAATTTTGAAGAACAAAGGAAAAAAATGTTTAATGCTTTTTTTTTCTTGAGAAGCAGGCAAATGTATTTATATGATAAATTTATTGAAAAAATATATATTATAAATGAATGAAGGTGTTGTTTGTGTTATTTAACAAGTATTAATATATATTTGTGTGTTTTAGTCAATTTTTAAATTTAATAACTACACTCTAATTCTAGAAAGAGTGCTCTGTTGCATGCGTTCTACTCTACAGATGTGAAATACTGTAGTAAGGTAAACGACATGCTTTATCTATCATGCATATCTATTTTAAGAGAGATCGAGTGAATGGGGGATAGGGACTTACTACAAGAGGGTTGCCCCAATACCACGACTTGACTCTCTGCGTCCAACCTCCAAGCTGAGACTTGAGACCTCCTAAGTATCCGCACTGAAATCAAGGTTTACCCAAACTGCTACTACAACTAGAACTTTTTTCTTTTATTTGAAGATGAAGAAAAAATGAAGAATCTGACAGACGATGGATATCACAGATTTGTCTTCTATGACAGATTTCTTTTACTATTGACAAATTAATTAATTTAGATAATCTATTATAGAAGCATAACAATTTTCAATGTTATAATGAATCTAAAAAATTTAGTAAATTTAAATGAAATATTTAAAGACCACTGTGACTCGTCTCATTCAGAAGCTAATAATTTTTTAAGAAATAAAAAAATTTATATTTTTATAAAATTTTAAGAAAAATAATATTGAAGCTGCTCTTGCAGAGCTATGGTTGGTGGCCTACTTTGCCCAATGTAGGTTAGTAAATCAGCTTGTACCATGTAAAGTGTGTTGGGGGAAAGGGAAGGGATAATGTCATTGACCTCTCATGAGATGGCAGATCCACAACAAACTACATCTACAGTAAAGAAAGGTTTGTTATTTATTAACCATTATTTTGATTGATGCATGTTTTGCAATAAAAATTAATTTGTTTCTGTCTTTACCAAAAACTTAAATAAAATTGAAATTTTTTTTTTGTTATTGGTTTTGTTTCTGAGAAGATTGTGATTTAGAAGAAGTTGGAAGGTTAAAGATCCCCAGGGCCAAACTGATGAAGCAGGGAGGAAGTATGGGTGAAAGAATGGTTGTAGCAGAACCGGCTGCAGGACAATACAGTGTATCTGACAATTTGAACCGAGTGTACACGGAAAAATGTTGACTATAACACTAAATTCATCTTTTCTATTAAATGGACATACTTTACTACAGTAATGCACATCGCAGGTCCAACTGCACGCCTTGCCTAGCCTAGCTATTCCTTAGACCCTGCATTTAGGCTTACTACACACACTCAAGCACTCTAGGATTTTAAACACTATATCCAATAGGTACTTGTTAGACTAAACTACATAAATGTAATTCTATTATTAATAATTAGTTTTTAAGAAATACCAAGATTAAATTTCTATGTTGTATTTTTATAAATTAAGTATATACTAACTCTAATTAAGAAGATATTTAAACAATACATTATTGTTTTTGTAAGGGCTAGTACAAAAATACCTTCAAGTGGGAAAAAACCAGAAATAGTTTTTAATAAATGCTTAATTCTAAATATAAGAACAGTTATTGAATTAACAATTCTTTTTTTTGTCAAAATAATTTTTATTAATATAACTTATGCGTTTCAGCAGCAAGCATACTACCTTATTCCTAAGCTCTGCCAAGAGATTTACTTATATTTATTTAAATATATCTATTTTTTAAAAATAAATTATGTTAATTTTTTATTTTTCACTCACCATATTGGCATCATAGTTGTTGTTATGACCCTGTGATGAACCGAGATCCTGAAATATAAAGTATTAGTAAATTTATTGAGAATTTGAAATAAATTTGATCAAATAAATCAAAATGAGTGCTCAAAATTACATTTAATCTTTTGTTTTTAAAAATATTTAGCTCAACTGTCATTATTCTCAAAACTACCCTTATACTAAACAATATCTTAAATAAAAAAATAGTTTTGCAGCCATTTAAAAAAAAATTAAGCAATCAATGACATTTATTAATCAATACAATTACTGATTATATAATTTAAATGCAGCTCTTTCTTACTATCTGTACATAACTTATGCAACTCAACTAATTTTAATACAACTGACTAAACATTTATTCACAAAGGATAAAATAACAAACAAATAATAAGTAAATGCAGATCACTAATGAACCATAAAGCATTTAAAATAATCATAAAATCCTTCGGGAAAAAAGTCATGGGTAAGCAGAAAGCCAATGCAAGTAAGCCTTCACATAATGCGACATTTAATATTCATTTTATAGGTGTCTTCTAATTTAATGCTGTACAATAATGTAGTTTATAAAATCAACAAGCTAACAAACTTGTGAAGTCCACAATAAATAATGACGTCATCGGTTATAAATGTGAACTTCGGTACTGAAAAATTGTTTCACACACAAGCATAGTTCAAACAGTATTTAAATTAAATGTGACAGATAGGTAGAAGGCCAGAAGGAAAATTGTAAAACATTTAGAACTGTAAAAAACTGCAATTAAAACTAAATAAGACAAAATTATTTATAACGAAATCTAAATAATGTTATAAACATAATTCTAAATTCTAAAAAAATCTAAACTCTGTGATATAAATAAAAGAAACTGTCATCACAACAAGAGTGGAAAATGGTAACACACAATAATAAAGATGGATAAGAAGAAATTTAAAACATTTACTAAGTTCTTTTCTAACTTTTTACCTGTTGCTTGTCGTTGATGTGTTGTGTAGAAGATTTGAAACTCGGTGACACACGTTCATTGTTCCTGCCAAGAGACAACAAGTAAACACCCTAATATGCCAGACATAATATTTTTAAAATTGGAATCACACTTTTAAATTGTGCATGCATGATTATGTGACCCTAAAATTAACCAACTCTGGAGTATTTAGTTTCTTATTACATTATTAGGAAGCAATGCAAATAAATTAAATTAATCAATTTGAAAAAAATTGGGGAAATGAGTATTATAAAAACTAATAAAAATAATGTACTATAAAATGGCTTCCGCATGAGATTAAATTGAGTCAAATTTGAATATGTAAGAAACTCATACATTTTTAGTTCAATTATAATAGCATATGCATAAAAATATATAATATTCTATTACGTATGAATATCAGGATGCTTTAAGTAATGATGATTAAAGAATTTAGCTCATATTTATATATCTCATCTACGGGGGCAATACCACATCAATATTCTCAAAAAGATTCTAATTTCAGTAACATGCTATCACGAGAGTCTTTAAGATGTGTAATAATATTAGTTCAGAAAGTACATAAACTAAACTTGTCAGCTATATCATGCCCACATCATTGACACTTCCTAAGAATTAATAAGAATTTTGAAACAGAAACTAAATTAGAAATATTTTTGCTCACAGAAAACTTTATTTTAAGAAAACATTAATTTAATTCTACTTCTTTCTCACTCTATTGTGTAATTTCAATGCTTTCTCTGCCTTCTATTAATTAGGTTCTATTCATTATAAAATCTATTCAGTTTTAGATTAAGATTATAGTTTATTCTATTAAGAAAAGATAATTAGTGCATTGGTAAAACAAATAAAGTAATGTGTGTGAACTAAGTTATTTAAGAAACCCTTAATTTACCATAAATAAAATATTTGTTCAGCTTAAAATTCATCACATAATTTTCTGTATCATCAAATACTTGAATAAAAGAAAGAATATATAATAAAAAACTGAAAAAGTTTTCACTTTTTCGAATAAAAAGATTATTCCTTATAAGTCGATATCAAAGTAACCAGAACAGGAATTTCTCAATCCGATTCTTTTAATGAATATGAGTTTATTAAAATTTTTGACACTGAATTTTAAAAAAATTGCCAAGCATAGAAAAATGGTATGGATCTTTGTATGATTATTGAATTTAACACATTTATGTTCTCGTATCAGGATAGGGAGGGGGAAGTGAGGGTTATGTAATCTTTACCAAAACCTATTTTAGTCATCAGAATGGGAGGGTTGAGATTTATTCTCATTATTTATGGATTAAATTTACCCTCTTATCGCTTAGGATTTGAACTAAAATTCTGCTTCAAATTATGTTGTCAGAACATATTTTTCCTACTTTAAACAATATTTAAAATTTGTCATAGCAAGGAGTTAATTAATTTTTAATAATTAGCAGGAAGATGTAACAAAAATAATTTGGAGTTATATAGTCCCAGTGAAACACTCAAGTGAGAGACTTCAGAAATGAATGCAGTCCTTATAAAATTGTAAGAGCTTGTCTTATCCTACAATTAAGTAATGAGAGAATTGGCCAATGAATTATGTAAAAAGAACAAGCATGTACTTAGAAACATGTCATTAAAACAAATTAACTTAGTAATGAAGTAACTTAGTTTTATTTTATATTATATAATGTACAATTAATACTAAATTTTCATTTATTATATAGTTTATTGAATGGATTAGGTGTCCGGAAATAGTTATGCAAATCATTGAATGCAATACCTAACATTAATGGGATAACAAATTTTAATAATTTTTCTGATCAGTTCCTAAGTTTTTTATTGACAATTTTCTGATTGACTTTTATTAATTCAAAACAATCTCTAGTTCAGGAAATGATATAAGGTGCCAAATTTTAACAGTAACATATTAAGTTATTTCAATCCTATGTTTAAATGCTTTATAGATAAATGTATAAACTTTGGGCTAAATTAACCATTATCTTTTGATTTAATATTAAAGATTCAAAAATTCGAAAATCTCATGAGGTCATGTGATTCATGAAATAATTAGAGTGACTTTCATATAAATCAGTTGGACATAAGTAATGTCTTTTTTTAGCCAATTCTTTGCATTATAATTTCTTTTTCTAAACTAATTAGTATGGATAGTTGGGATCTTTCATATCTGATTACTTACTATACTACTAAAATTTTTCAGTTAATTTTAAAGTATAGTTACTTTCTATTTTTATTTTTTCATTCCTTCTTCATTTTCTTCCTCCATCTATCTTTCAGTGTGGAAAAGCCTCAGTTCGTCTAAGCCAGTCTAATGTTAGAATTCCAATAATTTTTATTGACATAAATTAATCACTTACTATCATAAAATAAATTAATAAATAATTATAAAATATTCATTTATTTTATAAATCATTATTGACATTTCCCCACTCCTTTAAAAAAACATTATTGTTATTCAATTTCTTTAATCTTTTAACTTCATCATTACTTGAGCATATTCTTTTTTTAAAATAAATTTTCTTAATTTCAAAACTAAATAGAAAATATTTTTAATCGAATAAAATTAAGAAATGTTTTGTTATATAACTTAACAAAAGCAAAAATACAGTAGATAAAGAAGCGTATGACTATAGGTAATACATCTACATCTAACAGCTAAATGCTGGAGTCAATAAAACTTTTTCCTCCCTAAACTTAAAAACTCCCTAAACTAATACTTATCTACTTTTTGGTGCATTCATTAGTCCAGATTAACATAAATTGACTTTTATAGAAAACAATTAAGTAAAAATATATTGTATTAATACTTATCACTTCAAATCAGTTTCTATCAAGGCTGTGATGGTTTTATTTAGAAACTTTATAATAAATGCATTCAGTAAGAATATCAGTTCCTAGGGAGGTGTGAAAACATCTGGGGAAGTGTTAGGATTGTATTGGAGAAATCATTTTAAAAAAATAATATTTTAAAGAAATAAATTCAAAATAAACTTTTTATCCAGAATTTTTAGATGTTAAAAATAAATTAATTAGACCTATGGAACTGATGTGGTCAGTACTGTATTTCGAACATGGGAGAGATGGACTAAACTAATATTCATTGTTTTAAGTCGGGAGCACATTACGACAAAAGATGGCAGCATAGTTTCCATGACTTTGTTACCATTTCGGGTCAATATAAATTTATAAATTACCTTACAAATTTAGAACTTGCTTAATGACCTGGTAAATACTTTTTTTGTGATTAATAATTAAAATAGAACAAAATATATTTTTTAGAGTAATTTATCTTTTATTAGGAGAATGGCTCTTTGGGTAGAGCAATTACTATGGTAAACTCCTAAAAACTGGAACACAGTTTCAGTTCAGCAGTGTCAGAATTTTTTTTTATTTTATCAACCTCAGGGTAGGAACATCTTCCTGGAGCATGCCCATTCTTTTTTAAGTGGGTGCGTGACCAATGAATGGTTTGAGGAGATTATAATAGTTTAGCACGATTCTGGCTAGATCACCTCCTTACTTAACTGTTGGTCACAAAACAGTACTTCTTCATTAAGTGTCGAATCTAAGACGCTACATGGGTTGTTGTAAAACTGTTATTTTGTTTAAATTTATTTCAATAAAAAAAATATAAAAGAGCGAAAACTCAAAGAGAAATAAATTAATTTTTAGAATATAATTGTATGATTCAAACACTAAGCCTTGAGCCTCTAAAATGCAGGTAAACAATTATCCCATCACCAGATAATTCACTAATTTAGGCATCGTCAAAAATAGGGCTGGAACTAAGATTTTTGCCAAAAGGAGCAAGCTTAATTTTGTTAAATAAAAATTAGCAGTTTATATAAATATTTTAGGTTAATATATTTTGAAATAACTATCATCATCCCATACATTGACTCATTTTATTGGCTTGATTATAGTTTAAAAATCAAAAATCCATAAAAAATAATAATAATTTTTTTCATAAAGCTAAAAAACGATTTTCCTAGAAATTTGCATACCGGAGTAAGTGCACCCTGAACCCTCCCTAGTTTCAGCCCTTTCATCATGGAAAAAACAATCAAAATCATATAAGTCCACTATTGTTTCTTTTAAGCATTTAATTAATTTTGAACGAATTGAGTAATGTAGCCAATTTCATATGTTAAAAAATAATTGATAATAATACTTATATAAACTAACATGTTTTTCCCAATATTGCTTCTAATTTGAATGTATTAGGGAGGAAAGGGTTAAGGATGTAATGCAAGAGCTCTCTCACAGGTATACTAGTGTTTAGTATTTTTTTAAATTTAATCGTTTGTGTTTTTATATAAACATTTTTATCTTCCTGTTTGTTTTATACATATATGTTTTTTAAATTTATTTATCATGATACGAGCTGACTGAGGACCACAGGTATACTAGTTTTAGGCTTTTTTCTTTTTTTGCCCATATTCTCATTTTTTCTCCCATTTCCTTCAATCTTTATTTATTTACTCTACCCTCCCATGCCAATATGGATTGTCATTGGCAGGTATTTTCAATTACTAGGCATGAATATTTAATAACATACTACTGCTAGTTAACATGAACAAAGATGTGCTAACAGTCCATTCTTCCTTTTTCATTATCCTGTTCGGTCCAGCTTCCAGAATTTGGAGGTCTTCCTGGCGCTTGTCTTAATCTGCTGGCACCAATATGGAAGTGAGCAATTCCCACCGCCGTCTTCCACCCATTTATGAATTCCTTGAACTACAAGTAATTTTTCTCACTGTCTAACTGAGAAAACTTATTTTCTGTGAGATAGACATGGATCCCATAGCTCTTGTCATAGTTACTCTTAACGCTTCAAATGCAGCGCTGGTTGTGATGATGTGCTCTACAGTTTCTGAAACACCACAAGTTGGGCAAAAAAGATCTACATTAATGCCCAAGCTGTGAGGTTCAGCTCGAAATCCTCCATGCCCTGTGAGGAATTGGGAAATCCTGTAATCTGGGAGGACCAACTTCCCTGAAAATTCGACAGTACCATAGGAAAGTACTTCCTCAATGTACTCAATCTTTCCTCTATCCATTTCTTACCTTCCTGGTTTTTTACTCAACTACAAGAGCTTTTATGTTTTCACTATTATTCCGAATTTTTTCCTATCTTGGTAATCTTTCTATCTTTCTCTTTGACACCCATTTTTTCTACTTCTTCTTTTCTTTGTTCCAGATAACTTTTTATTTTCTCTTCAGTCCCTTTTCCCATGACTTTATCAAATATTACCTTGTTCGACCTATTTCGATATATATATATATATATATATATATATATATATATATATATATATATATATATACATTTTTTTTTCAATTTGATAATAAAGTGCATTATTCATTCACTAACCTAAATAAAACTTAATTCATTATGCATAGCTATGTTTTTTATGAATCATATCATCCAGCAGTAATGCCATTCTTATTAAAGTCATTAGTCAATCCTGGAGGAGAGAAAGTCTACAGAATTTGGATTAAAAATAAATAAAATATAAAAATATCTGTTTTGAAGGATCTGCCAGGGATAAAATTGAATTATAGAAAGCAAGCAAAAATGTAGTTAGTACACATATTGGACCAAAGTAACCAAACTTAAATTATATAAAAAAATAATAGATAAGAATATTAAAAAAGGTTAGATGAACCTGCAGGTCCATGCTGATAGGAACAATGATTACTGTTCAAAACCCCCTCGAAACACATTTGTCCACTAGGTCAGTCATAAAAAGAATTCCTTATCTACGTCTTGGTTTATAACTCAAAGAATCCTATCGATTCACCACTGACTTCCAATCACTATCAAGCTCAACTACTTTATATGCCTATTTCAGTCATTGTGGTACTATCACTTCAATAATATTTAAAGAGTGTCTACACCACAAAACCTTGTTGTGTAGTCTCCTTGATTCCCCTGTTGATTCATCCTTATTTGGGCCAAATATTCTATGCCATATTCTATTTTTAAGATCTCGAGCCAGTTGATCAATAAAATCATGAGCCTATTGAAATAAAACTGGTGAACTACACCTTTGCATTTTAATTTTTTCACTCAAGGGATGCCATTAGGAAAAATATTGGATGAATAGTTAAAGAGCTCTCTCTAAAAACACACCTGATCTTTCCTTGGAACATTCTGTACTTTTTCTGGTTAATTACCACTACTAATTATGAGTATAATATTTCTTTTAACAAGTTGAATGGAATGAAATTCCTTAATCAACCTGCCTTCATCTCTCATTGTGGTTTACAATGAATCTAGATTCTTTTGGAATTTTCCTATTAAGAATTTAATATAAATATATTTATACTTAAATATAAATATAAACAATTTAAGCTTCTCCACACTCTTTGACTTGTTTACTTGGAGAATAATTAGAAATGATATTTACTTCACAAATTAAATGGAATATAAACAAATTCTTCAGCTACTGGATATTATGGTGGATGTATTTCTGTTCAGCTGCAGTATATTGTCAGCCAAAATATTGTGCCATTTTCAGCATTCTTTGTTGGAATAATTTTAGGCTAATGATTGAAATTTGTATGTATTCTGTTATACTCTTTTATTTTTTATTTTCTAAATGTTAAAACAGGATAAATTTATTGTATTAGTTACCTAGCCAAGTAAACAAATATTCTTTTTTCCCCTGTTTCCTTTGTTGTCATAGCTATTTTCTGTGTACTCATGTTGAATGGAAAGCTTAAAGGAAAAGTTAATATAATGAATATTTCCTTTGTCGTTGATAATTTTCCATCCAAAAATGTGCAAGTTTTCCTTCATTTATTAAATTTGACTATCCATATTTATGTACATGCAATGAAAATATAAAATTTAAGTTATAATATATGAATTAACAAAAGATATATACAAAGTTTCTTTTTTAACAGTTACATTCCAATTGTTTCAGAAATGTACTTAGGAATAAAATTAAATGAATCATATTTACTTGCTGTATTGCTAATTTCTAAAAACAAGATTATAAAAAAAAAGAAAAAAAAAAGGGGGGAATGAGAATTATTCATCAAAACATTTAACCCATTTGGGCATAAAATTAAGACTAATAACTTCTTTTAAGTAGTATATTTTTTGAAGAGAAGAATGGTTGAGATGATCAGTAAAAAATAAGTAAAAATAAATAAGTATATTTATTTTTTCTGACGTTTCGACCCAAAGTTCAGGCCTTCATCAGGGCAGGTAGAACGAAAGGATTCCACAATCTGTACTGTGGACAAATCAAGACAAGTTGTCTTGCTGAATCCTTTCGTTTGACCAGCACTGATGAAGGCCTTGACTTTGGGCCGAAATGTCGGAAAAAATAAAAATAAATATACTTATTCACTTATTTATTTATTTTTTTTTACTGATCATCCCAACCATTCTTCTTTTCAATTATTCACTATAGTCAACCATCAATCCACAATTATAGTATATTTTTTAGTTGATTTATCATATAATTACTGTTTTTCCTGTCATACTTTTTCTAATGGCATGCCTCACCTCAAAATTTTATCTTCACACTCAATTTTTTTCCTATATTCTTCTGGCCTATTTTTGTACATACATAGATCCAGGACTAGAGATATTGATATTTCTTCTAATGGTGGTACTATGCAATCTCTGCAGATCCTTCTCTCCCCTTTGAAGTTTTGGAGTACTGCTGATATTGAATGCCTATAATTTATTTCTTGAATTTTGATTCTTGCTGTTGTTGACTTTGGACCTTTTAATTTTTCTGACAAGTTCTGAAAAGACATTGTTGGATGTTCTGTATTTGAATTTATAATTTTGGGAAGACACTTAGTTGCTGAGCAAGAGATGTTTTCCATTTAAATGGTAAATAGTAATATTTTGAAAATAATTCTTAGTAGGAAACAAGAAAAAATACTATTCACTCCATGATTCAAATAGTTCTTAGAATTCTGATGTTGGATGTTCTGTTTAAACGCTTTTAACATCTTTTTAAAAAGTTTCTTCTTTTTACAGTCATCTAAAACATTAATATTAATCAGAGATTTCAGTTAGTTAGAAATCTTTGTGCTTTTTCGGAGGTCTCTCACCTTATTTGGTAAATTTAGTATATGTTTTCCCTGCCTTATAATTTTATTTAGTTGTAAGCTAATGTTAAAATTATTTTTAGTTATTTTTGTTTGTATATTTCTGTTAACTAATTTTGATCTTTTAATTAAAGAATACTTTTCATTAAAGGTCTTGAAGCTTAATCTGAATAAGGGATTATATGTACTTGAGAAATCCCTGTAGCTGGTAGGCTGAATCATACTGAAAGTGAACTCATTATCATTTTTAAGACAAATAAGAATGAGAAATGCATAAAGGGTTTCTCAAATATCAGATTTCCACTTGTGAAACAACATAAAATAATAAAGGGTGTTGGTACGAATAGGAGTTACCTAATGGAACGGCCGTTAGTAGTGTCTAAAGGGCCTAAACCCAGTCCAGAGTCTTCTGAGGGCGTTCTCACATCCTCGCTGTTAACCCTCCACCCATCGTAATCAAGCTGAACACACATCATACACACAATAGCCTAGACTTCCAATCATTGAACAGAAACTTAACAGTCATAGTTGATATTTTTATTTGTTTAAAACGAATTTTCAATTGACTTTTCTAAGTACAATAGAAATATTAAGTGACAAAGACGTGGCAGATGGAAGAAAAATTATCAAAAGTGATTGTGTAAGTAGCTGCAATAAGAGCAAAAAATATTAGGTGGTGCATAACATACAGTATACTACTGATTGATCCAAAGTTAGAAGAAAGGTTATTATTAAATGAAAAATATATTGAATTGCACTGAAACATTTATAATTTCCAAAGCTAGTGCATTCATTCTTTGAAAAGTAAATTCAAGCAAAGTATCATTTTTAAACTAGTTAAAACATTAATGAAATAAATCTAATATGAAGTAGTGCACTTAATTATTTTTTTCTATTCAATGAAATTTCATTAATAAAATTTAGATGTTTGGATTTTCTAAATTGTAGATAGAGATAGACAGAATAGTTATATCATGTATATAAAGATAAAAAGAAGAAGAAGAGAGAAAGTGATAAATATAAGAACAAGCAATTTAATTATATTCAAATCCAAAAAATTAAAATGATAAGGCTGAATGAAATGAAAAAATAGGAAAGTAAGTAAACATAGTTGAAAAAATGAGTATCTTTAAAATATAAATAAATATTACATCATAAGAAATAAAAGCTATATTCATTTTTATAACATTGCCCCTCAGTGGTCATTAAGAGTTATTTTAGAAGACAATAAATTTTATTCTACAAATTGTTCAAATACATGAGGAGACAAGACCATCATATGAAAATCAAGACTAGCATTAAAAACTGATGCACTAGAAAAATTCAAGATGTTCTCAGTGAAACAAATCTACTGGCATTTTAGGAATACCTGAATGTTCAAAATAGCAATAGATATAATAGCTTTTTGTATTTGTTTTGGGTAGAGCCACACTCATGGCCGGTATTGGCCATTATATATTGTCAAACGTTGAGCCAACTTTCCTGCCTTCAATATTTGACAATCAATGGCCCAAGATAGCTACTACACAACTCAGCTAATGCATATTATGGGACACAACCTTTGTTGGCGAGAATTGTGGCCCTATTTTTATGAGTCCCCATTGTTAAAATTGGGCTTGTTTACTTTATCTCCCTCCAGATAGCACTTCCTGCCAGATACCATATTAAAAATCCCTATAGAGGTATCTGATACCTTCCTTGGTTTTACTAGTGTCATAAATTGTATTTACATGTTCTAAAAATAGGATATATCCTAACTACCTCTATTGCAGATGAAATGCATTAAATCTGAAGTTTGTATAGATGTTGGTTTTAATTTGACTTGATAAAATGAGATGAAAACAAAAGAATCAACAATGGGCAGAGCAAATCACAAGTTATGGGCAGGCTTTTAACATTTTCTTAACAATATGGAAATGCTCAACCATATATATATATATATATATATATATATATATACCCTAACTCAGAAAGGATATATAGATGTTTATAAAATGGACAGGGAACAAGCCAAAGCCGTGATTCTAAATTTTTTAAAATATATTTTTGGCTGTTGTGGCCAACAGTAAAAGATATATATTGTATAAATAAATGGATATTTATAGAGGTGCATTCAAGATTGCAAATATTAAATATTTATGCTTTAGATACATAGTTAAGGATTACTCGGGTGCCTTGCCTTAATTCCAAGCAGACCAGTGTAGCTTACATCCTCATCAGGACCCCTATGAGAGCTCTCATCTTATTATTTTTACTTATAAAATTGCACAAGCTATTGTATTATTTTCTCACCCACATTTGGGACATTATATCATTGTCTTCCAAGAAGATTGATCGCCTGTTAAGCAGAGAAAAGGAGAAGTTTGATCGGTCACAGATTGATTGGACTAACAGAATTAATTAATCACAGGATACTTTAAGATGAGTGAGGTTCTTTTAAATATACTGGGACTCACATCTCAAAAGGAGTAAAAAATGACCTTAATTATATATTCACAATTTTGTACTTGTAAATTTAATTTAATAAGTAAATTAGTTAAAGGTTTGCTTTTGTTTCTTTTATTAATTTTATTTATACAAAGGGTGTAATTTCTTTTATTTTGTTTTGAACTTGAATTTACTTTATTTTGTTTGTATGCATTGTTAACTTTTTCTTTTTCTTTAATATATATTCTTTTTAAAAACTGCTATTTGAAACTACATATAACCTTTATGAGCCTATATTATTTTAATGTTTTTAAAATTATTCAGATATAAAAGTACCTGTGGCCTATAATTGGTGAGCAGACTTGGTTGTTTATTTCTTATTTTTATTTTTGTACAGACCCACTCACACCACATTTGACATTATAGTGTTTTCGTAGTTTTGATTCTTTGTTAACAAATAGTCTATCTTCATCTGAAGATAGACTGTTGATTTTTGAAAAAATGATGCTCAGAAAAATTTTCAATCAGACACAGGAAGGTAACGCCTGCAGGAGAAGAAAAAATCAGGACATATATGCACTCTTCAAGAGTATAGATGTTGATAGATGGATCAGTGTTAGGAGGCTCAGATGGGAGGGGCACCTTGCTAGGATGGATGATAATGAAATCCCCAAAAAATTAGCCATGAAAACTCTCTATCAAGCTAGAAGAGTGGGACGAACCAAAATGACGTGGCTGGATATTGTCCATGCAGATGCCAGGAATATCCAGACTGGATGACTGCTGCACAGAATAGGAATGAATAGCAGAAACTTTAGGGGAGAGCCCTAATTCAACAATAAATTGCAGTGTAACAATAAATTATATATGTATGTATTAACAAATAGTAATTTTATAACTCTAAAAACTTTGCTTTGTATAAGTATTAATTGTTAAAATAATGAAAAATATTTTTGTTCCATGTGTGTACTAATAACTAGTGGCATCTGTAGCATTTTTGTAAAAAAAATATAAAATAATTTTAACAAGGAAAATACAGTGTATTTGTCAATTTTACATTTAATGGAAGAAGTGATTATGAATCTAAATATGCAATAAAACACTCATCTGGCAAAGTGAGTAAATGACACATCCATTTGCATTTAATTATGACCATAATCCATGGTTTACCGTATTCTTGATTCTGATTTCCAAATCAACTTAATTTATTATTCATTGATCACTTACATTTATATGTAAGATTTTTTGTAATCACAACTGTATCTGTTTTATGGGAAATGGTAGTTTGACTCCTATGCTAATTTTGGAGGATGGATGTTTCCCAGAGGGAAATGAAAGGGTTTTCAATTGTTTTAGCGAATAAAAAAAACTTTTGTAATGAACAAATATTATAATAGTACATAGATTAGACAAATTTCAAATTGGTAATGGTGCATATAGATCTTATTATCAGAAGAATAGATAAATAAATTAAAGATTTTTTAATGTATTTATATTTTTGATGCAATCAGAACGATTTTAATTCTTTCTTATGAAAATATTAAAGAAATAAGACCACAGAAGTATCACAAAAATGTATATTTTTAACTCAATCTATTTATTTTAATATAATTATTTTAATATTTAATATAATTAACAGAATATTTACAGTTGTTATTGATTCAATTAAAAATTTATGTGATTAATCTTTGAAGTAGACCTCTTGATAAAATTACAATAAAGTAGAATAAAATCTCTCACAACAGCCCATGAATGACTTATGATGTAAGCACTGGTAAAGATGCCTGATTTGTGACTCAAAAGAATATTTGGTGGAGAGGGCGATCAGCATGGATGTCAGCTACTCATTGTAGTCTTAAGTTAACCCAACAAAATTCTATCAAAATACAGTCCAAGAAAATGTTTTTGATTTCCTGGTAAAGATTTGGTCTGATATCATTCAACAAAGGAAAGCCCGTGTTCTGCCTACATGTTGCCCAATAATATTACAATCTTAGAGTTTTTGAACATTATTTTTTTCAAGTACCTGCTGTTTTTAAAAGAAGTTTCTGTTTTAATGTCAAGATTATAAATAGAGAAAACAAAAGTTGGACTCTGTTTTGGTTGAGGATAGAGAAATAAATAAGGGCACAGTAGATTCACAATGTGCCATTCATTCAGTTTCTTCTAAATTGATTTTCTTATAAACTATTTTAATTTTTCTATGGATAAAATTATGAAACTTAGAGATTAAGAGTTTCATCAGTGAGTACAAAATGTAAAAAATTAAATTGAATTCAATGGAGATTGAAAGGAGATCTAATGGAATAGAAATGTTGCCTATACTAAACTTGCTGAAATAAAAACAGAACCTAAATTTATCCTCCCACGTGGGTCAAAGCAAGAGGATTAGCCAACCAATACCTCTTTAACAATGTTCTGCAGTCTATATTCCCTTAATTAACATAAGGAATTGGACCAAACTTTATTCAGCAGGTATAAAGGATAGTTCTGAACGATGCAACAATGTGTCAGGGGTTAGTGGAGATCCAGTAAATTACCACACAATTACAACTATTTGTGTACTTGATAATTTTGATTGGTCTAAATTCAAATTAATTTTAAGCATCATATCAGTATACTTATGATGTCATTACTACATGAGAAAAAGTATATTTTTCTAAGATCACAATAATTTTATGAAGTGGTCCACTTTAAATATTACGTACTATGATTTTTGTTTTGCTATTGATATAAAAATTTCAAGGGGTTTTTATGTTCTAATTTAATTAGATTAAATTAGACTTATAATCTTTTATAATGATTAACTGTTTATGAATCTTTATTTTTCCTTTCTGCCAAGTAAATATACAAATATAAATGCATTTTATTTATAATTAAATTTAAAAAATGTATTAAACCTACTTGTTACAGTAAGATTTTTTAATATTTTTAAAAATACATTTTTTTTTATTTACATGAAATAAATATAAAGATTAATTTAATGTTTTTAATAGGAATATATCTGGTTATTGACTATAGTGATTATGACAAA